GGGACAAGTTGATTGAAAGCGCCTTCGACGCTGCAGCACGCCCTTCAAAGCGTCCACGGCTGCTTTCCGTTGCAAGTTGCCTCAATTGAGTCATAAGCGGCGACACGCATGTAAACATATGGGGCTCGCCTGCCCCGAGTTGACGGCGAAGACTGTCCCTCCCACCGCCAGCGTGCCACCAATGGGCAAGAGCGCCCGCAATTTCCTACGCAGGGAAACGGTTCACAGCTGTTCCAAATGTTTTGGCCAATTTCACTTGTAAAAGCCACGCTTGCCTGCCTCCATGGACCTGTCCGCGGCCGTGCTCCAAGGATTGCGGCCTGCGCTGCTGCCTTCCAGTGTCGACCGCACCGCCTTGGCAGCTTGGGCGCCCAAGACAACACGCCCAGCCGGAAGCCAAACGCGGGCACGAATGAGGTCCTGCCACGGCTCTGAGAAAAAGAACACACAACATTACACAGCCAACATCAACCAGACAAACAAGGGAACTGAAACCTGCAGTCTAAACAGCGCAAGGCCCCCGTTTCATCTGACAATTCTATAGATCGACGGCTCCTGCGGCATCCGGTTGCATGGTGTGCGCACACTGTGGTCGGTGTCTTTCTTCATAAGAGAGAACCCCCCGAACAGTAAACCGTTTGGGAACAAAACAAAAACAAACAACACAACATCTGCGTTCAAACGCTGAGAGGAGCAGTGTCCAAACCGATAGGACTGCAAGTTTCGGATTCGGCGGCGTGGCTTTTTCCCATTGTGGGCAGTCAGCACCCAAAGAATCCGGGCCCTCAAATGGAAGGGGTTTTGAGGGTCCGGACCCCTGCTATGGAGGGTCCAACCCCTGCCCATGGAGGGTCCAAGGATTCTTGAGGCAGTGTCTAAAACAATCTGCTTTGCCGCAGCTAAGGGTAGAAGAGTTCCTTGCTTCATGGCTGCCCATGTCGACCGCGCCATATTTGCTTTCCCTCCAACTGCAAATTGGTTTGGACTCGAAGCTGGCATGGAACTGCTACAGATCCAGTCTGCCCCAGTAAATCGAACCACGCGAGTACTTCATGGTGTCAGGACGGTCGAAGGACAAATTCACTCTTCGTCCTCGCGAGTGACGCGACCCGCGAGTGACGCCCACCAGTGCCGTCACACAGTGCCACTGACAACAACGGCAGCGACAGGCACAGCGACGTGGTCAGTCCGTAACGATGAGCAGTCGGGGCTCGAGGTACTTCTGGGTGATCTGATTGGTCAAGGTACCTGAACATGGAGGATGGAGGACACCAAGAAAATCTGGACTAAATAGTTCCAAATAGTCAAATAGTTCCAAAAAAACTTGCACTGTTGGTCCCTGCATAGGCTTGGACATGATCAGATGGACATGACATAGTGATGCTGGGTGCAATCCACTGACACCTGTCGGTCACACTTTCCTGTAAGGCCCAAGATACCAGGAGTCCATCGTCCAGCAAGTGGGTTGGCGCCAGTATACCTTGGCGGTCTTCGGGCCGTGGGCGCGACGTGGCGCGGCGCGTGTTCGGCGGTCAAAACCGGCCTCTAAAAAGAGTCTGTTTCACCAATGACTAAAGGTTTGGGCAGTGTTCCCACCCACGGTCTTCTCACGAGGAAACACAGCATGCAGCATACTATCGGAAGCCTCCATGATCCTATCGGGTCCGCCAGACCTAGCCCTTTCGGTTTTTCGCCGCTTTCGCCCTCCCGTACTGTGGCTGAACCAGCTACTGGCTGAACTTCAGCACGGCCCGCGAACCGTAGGGTCGCTGGCTCGCGACGATGATGTCCTCAGTCGCGGGACGGTGGACGGATGGGTCTGGGTGGTAGGTCCTGGTGGTAGGTCTTGTCTGAAAAAATGTGGGAAGGTCTTCCATTGCAACCACAAATTAGTTTATATAATAGGCTTTGTCAAAACAACATAAAACAACCATTGTTTGACTTGAAGATTTTACAGGTCACAGGTCGCTCCCAATTCTTGGACTCGTCTTCTAGCGGTCCGGCGTGGACGAGTCGGGCCGCGTTCGGCGTTGACCGGGGATCTGAGGGTCGGATCGGACGGCATGCGACCAGGGAAAAACGGGGTTCAAGTGCAAGGGGTCAATGTAGCCCATGGAACCGGCATACCATATACATACTGGATCCATAGCTGGATCTTCCAACTCACCTCAAGAAAATGTCTGCTTTTTCATCTATTTTAGACCATGAGATAGCTATGATATGCTATGATACCATGAGATAGCTATGGGTCAGAATCCGGCTCCCTTTTCCAGCAGTCCGGTGGACCGCCTTCTCGTCCGGACCTTGTGGGTGGTTTCTTCGGCGTGTTTTCGGTGTTGGACCATGGCCAGGCTGGGGAAGACTGGATGGGGAGAGGGACTGGCTGGGAGCTTGGCAAATTGCCAGGTCTTTCTTGTTTAAACGGTTGTTTAGGGAATGCTCGTTCAGAGCAAATGATACAAATGGTTGGTGAAGTAGCTCCAAAAAACATAGACGTTCGATGACGACATTCGCATTCACAGCTGATTGGGAGAATAGGCTTCCTCTAACCAAGGGTGTCTGTGAGTGTTGTAGAGTGCAGTGTAGTTCACCGTCACCATGAATCCTCGAGCATCTGCCACACATCCCTTGAAACTTGAAACCCAAAGATGGTCTATTGGTCTATAACAACCGCTTTTTCCTGTTTCCATCAACCACACTGTGACTTGCTTTAGGGTCGACCCCCTTAAAGGTTTTCTCTTCTTCTTCCCTGCTTCATCCAACACCACACCCTTCACCTCCTGGATCCCAACCCCATCCAACCCTATCCAACTCGACGAGGCCAGCGGAACGCCCGCCGAACGCACGCTGCCGAACGCGCTCCTCCCTTCGCAGCGGAAGCTGCCGCAGGGTTCTCAATGGCCACAATGATCCGAGCAGCGCACTGCAACCTCAGCAGATGAAACTCCGCCCTTCCAGTCCCCCGCCGGGACTGGATCATTTCGACCCGCAGGCTGTTCATCTGAAGCCTCTTTTTCGAGGTACACGGTGTAGAGGTACATGGGATCAATTCCAACTGCTCTGACTGGCAAAATCCGTGCATTCCTCGCCCATTGAGGAAGACTTTGGAGCCAAAATCCCATCCGTCCGAAGAACCGCGAGAGACGCGAGACGCAGATGAACCGGACGCGGTTCACCCGGTTCAACTGGGCGGCTGTTCGAAGGTGAGAACTCTCCCGGTACTTGCAGTATCACGTTCGTCCCTCGGTCACTGAGCCTGATCTTGGTACAATCTGCAAGTGATCTTGCAAGATCTCGTGGTTTCAGGGCGCGGAAAGGGTTCAGTCTGTCTGGGCGCCACAGTCTCTGTTGCTCCCGCCAAGGGGCTTCTCCCAAGTCTTGCCCAAATGGATGATGTGGATCCCATCCACCGTGCGGCGGAAGACGTAGCGCTTCATCCGATAATCCACGTTGCGGGTGCCCAAGTGGGTCTTGCATACCTTGCAGACCCGACGGAGCACCCGTTCTGCGGGCCACGCTGGCGGTGGAGCCAGCTGATGGTTTGGGGTGGGTTTGCGAGCACCAGGGGGTGCACTAGTCCATCTGTATGGGATGACCATGACGGTCCCAGCAGATTTCACGAAACTGGCTTGGGGCTTGATTTTTTCCTGACTTACAGCAGAGGTGGGTCGTCCATCATGTGTGGACCAAACTCGAAGGATTGACGAAACTCCGCCTACAAAGACCTGGACTCTCCAAAATATCTTAGAAAATGTGACATGACCCTATAAAAACAGGTACTTGTACCCATTTTCTGAGGTACTTTGAGACTCCATGTGCCTTTTTGTTGTGTGGAAACAGATCTCAAGACGACTGGACGACTGAACCAGTTCTCGGGAGGTCAAGAGGCCAGCATCATCTGCACATCTTCTTCCTGCCACGATGACAACAGACTCCATACGAGTTCATCCGGCGAGGCAGAGCGCCGGATATCTGGTTTTGCTCTTTGTTTTGTTTGCTAATGTTCGGGTGCAAAGTAAATAAGTTTAGGATGTTGGCATTCCCGTGCAAAGTCTCTTGACCCTTCAACACATGTTCGCTCGCAAACATCGGGCCCTGCCCAGTTCATGAAATTCAGGCATTGCCCTCAGGCATGCCCCATCTCCTCTATACCTTGGTTCACAATGGTTTACTCGTGTTTACGAGTTTCAGTATCTGAAGATTCCCTCACCCAGAAAATGGAGCAATGCTATTTTTCACCTCTCAGCCTCTCCACCTCTCAGTCCATCTTCTGCTCACTTCGCTCCTTGCTCGCCGCCATCGGTGTCAGACGCTCTGGAGACACGAACCGACCGTTCCTTTTGAACCAAAACGATCGAAGCACGCGACCGCAGAGGGAGGCACGGAGCGAAGAGCCGAAAGCGCACGGAGCGACGCAGCGAGCGACGCACTGAGCACCGAGCATAGGGCTTCTCTTCACACAGATGGCGACTTGATTCACCTGCTCAAACCCCACATTCGTCGTCGCATGCGACGGACCTGACACGACGGGGACAGCAGAGACCGCTCGTCGCATGGGTGTTGTTTGATCCGCCTGGCTGAGCTGTCGATGGGTTCTTCAAAGTAGCTGAGACACCTACACCTCGTGATGAGACCCTCCACAGTTCAAGTAGAAAAAAACAGTTCAAGTTCAAGGGTTCAATTGCCAGTAACCAGTAACAGTGGATGATGATGGTTAGTAAAGGCCTTGTTCAAGCATATTGTTGATTGTCTAACTGCTACAAGGTAAGTTTGGACAGACCCAAGATATACACCCCCCTTGAACAATCATGCAAGTGGATGACCCTAAAACGATGGCCCTGAAATCAACAGGTAATTTCCACGCCCCTTCCATGATGATTTCAGGCGGTGTACATCTGCAGGTGGTGAACTCCCCTTCCTTCTATAAACAGCTGGGTTTCCTCTATAAACAAATGGTTTTCCTCCTGTCATCCTCCCATCCACCCAATCGCGTCCCACGCCTGCAGGGCACCGGCCTGATGCATCTCCGGGTGCGCGGAGCAAAGCAGAATTACCAGCTAGACCAAATCGGAAACCGGTCAATAAATTCTGTTCTTTTCCCCTCTCATGCGTTCCTCAGATCATTTGAAAAGAATAAAACAAGAAAACGCGAAACCCAAAACCATGAAAGGACCTGAAACTGCCTGTCCCTGACACGACGGTTTCTTGTGGAGAGCTGATGTTGGCTCTAGTGAGACTTAAGTGCTGTGAGTGTAGCTGCAAGAACTTGCATTCGCTTAAAGAACCGGAAAATGAGTCTTCAATTCCATCTTCAGGCAAAGGGGAATTCGACTTCCATTCCAGGATCTTGCAGCTTTGATGTCATTTGTTGCACATTCTTGCAAGTTTGGACATGATTTCATGCCCCATGTTCTGCCATGCCATGGTTTCGGAATGTGTTTGATTGTTTATATTTATGTGTGTGTGTGAAAAGGGTTCCTGCACAAACTGAAAATCAAACACTAGAGCAAACACATAAACAATAAAAACAGCTAGCACATTGTGGAGTGCGAGTGAAATTAGATTCCAGGGGAGACGTGCTAGTCTTGTGCGAGTTGACGGGCTTGACTTTCGGTCAAATGAGATCCATTGGTGCAACACGCTTGGCCCAGTCTCATTCATCGGCCAAGGAGGTATGACTCAGACTGCTCCTTGTCACCCGTAATATAAGCTACCCCTAGGGCTCCAATTGCTTCCTCCAAACCCACCTCAAACCACCTTCTTAGGAGGTAGTTAGAGTCCCAGGGTATTGGAAATCCGTTCCACCCATCAAGCGCTACTTAGAAACGATGCACCCTTAGATTCCATTCCCGACATGTACAGTAAGTGAAAGGTCCATCTTTGCATCGCCCGAAACAGTCCGGAACAAGAGCCCCGGCCCATCACCCATTTGGCAATGGAAGCGCAAGTGACATGCCTGGTGCCCGCAACCAAAACGGCGCAGCGAACCACGGGGGCGAAGCGCGCAGCGAACAAAGGTCTGGTGCGACAGTGGCGGAATGCAGGTCTTCTCGCAGTGCGAAATGCAACACCTGGACCCTCCGAATACCGTGCTCGTCGATTGCATCACCACTTGACATCCTTGCTAGCCACTTGACAGTCATGTTCTTTTGGGTTGGGATGCTGATCTGCTAGCCACTTGCGGATCTGTGTTTTGTGGTTTCTGTGGCAAGAGTTCACGCTGTCAGGCGTATAATTAGACCGGAAAGTTAGATGATGGAGATCCTCCAGAGGCAGCGGAAATCGACCCCTCAGATCAGGTAAACATGAAGCATGTGGGTGTGTATTCCAATGGGTAGACGGTCGTTGCCTGGGAGGTCTCCCTGTTTTAATGCGCGCACATGTAGGTTTCTGGGTTGTCTAAATGACTCTTTCTAAATTCTAGTCTGCTACCGGTCAAGAGACGAAACATTCTTCACGGCAAGCCTTGAAGGAGGCTTTGGAATAATTTGTCTGCACCGGGTTAATTATATAAGGTAACACCAAGCATTGGCACAGGACGATTGAGAATGTCACAGTAACCCTAGTCGTTGAAATGAATATAGGTATCTGGAGAAGTGCGTGGATGACTGTTGCTGGATGGTTTTTATGCAGCACCTCGAAACCCCCCAAACCCTCCAAATGTTGCTTAAATCTTGGGTGGTACAAGATTTTTCCACAGCACCTCATGCTCAGGGACTGCGCCAAGGGGTGTGTTAACGTCGAACATCAAATGCATGGGCTGTGCACCAAACTGGATCCACATGTGGAAAACACCGCCTGCGACCGCCAAGGACCGCAGCGGAGTTTCCAAGGACCACCGCGGTCACCTGTCCCCCGTCGTTGATAGCCGTTTCGACTCTAAACCGACACTAAAACGGGCCCAACGGTTCCTTGCGGTTTGGGATTCCACTGGGTTCGGTTGTCCTTCGGAGCCTTGTGGCTCTTCCTGTCAGGCGCCGACATGGGAGGCCGGTTTTCACGTCTGCTGTCGTCAGGGAGTTTGAGTTCCTGCACGTCGACGTCGTGTCCAAAAGAAAGTTTGATCAATGATTTATACCTGCCTATGAATGGATATGACTTCACAGCAGCACCGGTCTCTTGCTTGCGAGGAAACCCTGGCTTGTGACAGCGTGCTCAGGTTGGGGTTGCATGTTTAAAACATGTTAAAACTAATCCGAAGGTCCTTTCACACTTCCCTCAATCAGATTCCTTGAGAGGCTGAATTGCCAAGCTGAAAGTCAACTAGGCTTGAAGCGAAGCTCCCAACTGGGAACTTTGCCGCAAAATGCGCACTGATTCCCACTTGACAACAATTGGCTTGGGAGCTTCTTTGGCTTCCAAAAGCTTCGGGCAGCGCGCTGCCGGACGAGTCAGCGGCGCAAATCCCAAAGCGCCCAACGATGTCTTCATGGATTCAGTGTGTCGAAAGTTGGGCCAAAACCAACCAGGTCAATCTTGATCGAATCCCAGCATTCTTTGCATCACTGATAGACCAGTTCAAAATCCAGCCATGGTTTGTGGATGTTCGCGGGTAATCCCAGCCATGGGCACCGTTCCAAAACATCGATCTTTGTCTGCGTATCGTTCTTCATCGTTCGTGTACCACGTTCTGGTGTGCAGGAGTTCAGTTGAACATAGAACGCTGAAGAGCCAGTAGGGTCGTTTGACTCACCTGCCGACCAGTGGGCAATGCTTCACAGCTTTTTGTACTCACTGGTCTCAAAGTGCATCTCCGAGTTTGTGACGGTGCAGGCTGTTTCAGGTCTTTTTTGAAGGATCTAATTACTTAGCGTTCCAAAATCCATTCTATAGCTGACTGTGTTCTTTGTTCAACTCACTTTGCTCAATGCACTTTCACAACAACTTTCAACGGGTCACTTTCAGCTGCTGAACCAAAACACTCATGGTGGTTCATTTGGCTATAGAAAGAAACTCTGAAAAAATCCCGCCATCCCATTTGGAGCTTGGCTAAATCCACCCGTCATTTCAACCAAATCCACCGTCGTCACCCAATCCCGCCATCTCTGCGTGCCCATTGCGTCTTCTTTTTCAGAGCATGTCGTCGTCTGTCGTCGTCGGCGCCGCGTGTTCTGTGCACTCTCGATCGTCGTCCTCATCCACCTCGGTCCGTGGTCGCCGTGGTCAGTCGGTTCATCCCAGTGACTGGCAAGGGCATGCATTCCAGACGTTCCTAGATGTTTGATAGGTTGGGTATATCCCATTCCCTGTAACAGCGGTTGATGATGCCAAGTAAAGGCCCCTTCTCCAAAATATTATAAAATAGTAATGATATCATATTAAAATATCATAAAATATCTGTGATAATTGTTTACCGACTGTTACAGGTAAGGGCACACCCCTGATCCATCGGGCCTTGTCAGCGAACCAAGCGACCAAGCGAATCTCTGATCGCCAGGGGGGTCTTGGATGGTCTTGGTATGCTCTCTTCCAGAGAAAGTGCACCACTCTGCGCCTCGGGTCACCTACTAATTCGCCGCTATCATAGCCTGGTTGCGTTCAATCAACTGGTGTTCGATCCATCTCAAAGAATTCCAGAAAAGAAGTCATTCGATGGGTTCGATCAACTGGGGTGTGCGTTTGGTCTTTTACTTCAACTGGTCTTCGATCAACTGGCGTTTGAAGAACGAAGCGTCTCGTCATCCGATCCGATGTACTTCCGCTCCACGGTGCCTTTTCCTCCGGCGTTGCAAGCGAATTCCGGGACCCTCCTTCTCCCGTCCCGCACGGCAACTCACGCTGGAAACAAACTCACCTTGGTGGCTCCAGGGCAAAGGTGGGAGAAGTGTGTTTATAGGAGAAGAACAAAGCAGGTAAATGGTAAGTATAGGTAAATGGGAAGGGTTTCAGAGACCACAGGTATTCCAGCGTCTCCCCCTGTGTCCAACGTCTATGTCCATCGATGTCGCCATTGGACCAAGGGCTCAGTTTCCGATTAATGGCTCCAGGCGTCGGTTTGTGGGATGAAGATCGGGGAGCCCCAAATCGGGACCCGCAGGTCGTCTGAATGCGTCGGTTCTCAGGTCGTTTTGCTGCACCCTGGGGGGGGTTCGTCAGGTTGGAACAGAGACCAGACTGAGAGTCTGCCACATCACTATGTCGAAGTATGAGTTGACGAGTTTCTGCTCTGAAACGTCGCCACCAAGGAGCTTCTCCTCTGCAGTTGGGGATGAGGTCACCACCATCCATGTGATATTTGCTGAGACAAAGGATCCTGTTGAATGAAACTGAGGCTCATGGACCAACTGCTACAGGTTGCTTCGGTCCATTTTCACCCTGCTCCAAACAAACTGGGTTCAGACTCCGAGCCGAAGGGTCCGCCGTTCGGTCCGCCGTATAGTGGATTGGGAGTCGATGGCACAGACCGCAAGAGGTTGTTTATATGGACCCCCATCTAAAGGAGATCTTGGGGGTTGTGCCATCTATTCTGAAACCACTGTAGGTGATTCCTTTGGGTTCGCTTGGTCGAATCCAGGTGTCTTTGCTGGTCACCAATCACATGTTTCCGTCAGCCGGACCGTCCGCCGTCGTCGCAGATCAACGTCCGCACTGCCAAGAAGCTCTGGCTGCCCCGTTGCCTCACATGGATTGAAAAAAGAATGAGTGGAACACAAATGACCCAAGCTTCCCAAGCTTCCGTTCTATGTTGTGTTTTTTCCTTTAAAAATGTTCCAAACACTGAAACCTCCAAATCTGTGTCTGACTTAGGCGCGGCATCTTCCACAGAGACACCCCGCACCTGGAAGCCCAAACAACCAAATGGACTTTCCAAATATACGGCAATTCAAATCCTTTACATAGCAAGTAGTTGGGACCATCTATTTCCGGTTGTTTGGGTTTCCAGGCAAGCATCAATCTGAAGAAATCGAAGAGTTTTCGCTCCGTCCAGGCTGCCAACCCCTTTCAGGGTGCCACAACCTATGAGTCCGAGTTCGGTGAAAAGGAAAAGAGATGGAAAAAGCCATTGGTTCACGACGATTCTCCGCCGTTCGTCCAGCGTGTGGGGTTCAGTTTCCTTCATGCTTACCGCTTGCAGTCACGGCCTAGTTGCACTGATCTGATGAGTCTCCTTCAGCTCCTCCGCATTCAGCTCAGTCGCGGCCCGTCTCGGACGCTCTCCGCATTCGTCGACGTGCCGCGCAGGTCCTGGTGAGACGTCCAAGCCGCAACAGCGGTCGGACGTCAGCCGCGCTGGAGGAGTCGCCGGGTGGATGGAACGTGGCCGTACATTCTGTCGTGCCTAAAACGTGCTGTTTGATGACGTGGGTGGTTGGATCTTCCAAACTATGTCGAATTTCTGCCTTTTCGCTGGGTTTCGTGGATGAAAAGGCAGAAGTGTTGCATGGGTGGAAGATCATAGGTTTGTGGTTTTGATGTCTTTGTTTGGCAGCAGCATGTGACATATGATGAATCGTGACTGATGTGATGCGGTGCAGCAATCCAAATGCTTCGTTTGGTTCCGTTGGGAACCTAGGAGCTCCTCCCAATGATGTCCGACCGAACAGGAATCACGGTCAGTGCTAGGTCCATAGACACCTATGGGTGGAAAGCTCGACCGGCTTATCAGTAGAAGAAAAATCCACCAACCAATCGTAAAAGGCCATCTGTGATAACTCCTGCACTTCTCTCATTCCTTCCCCTCCATGGGACTGCAGGACTCGATCACTTGGGGGGCATTTTGGGGCATCAATGCAGGCTTAGATTCCAGTCCCATGGAGTGTCTTGCTTACAAACGGTGGGCCAGGGAGTCTATTCCAACGAATCAAAGGAGCGAATCAGTGCACATGTGCACGTCGAGGCCAAGCATGTGTTCCTACCTCGCATTGGGATCCAAGTCACAAGTGGACCCCCTGCAAAGAACTAAGAAGAAAAAGCAAGACTCAAATGCCCTTCCAAGACCACTAAAACATGTTTGACCTGGTGTTGTAGTGTAAAATCCACAATATTGGTTCTTCGGTAAAGACGATCAAAATCAATAATCCTACGGAATGGGCCCACGCTTTTGAAAACTGTTGAATGGAGCTAAAAACCAAGAGAGCTCTCCTCGGAACCGGCTAGGGCTAGGAACTACCCTTCCCCCAATAGCCCAATAGCCCAAGCTCCTTTGAGTCTTCGCTCCCCTTGAACACCTCGCACTCCGAGACCCTTGTGGACGGTGTTGGGCCACTGGCATCCGACACGTCTGACCGCACGCACCCCCCGCGTGGATCGTGGTCAGGATCACTCCACCAGCCCCACCAGAACCTAGGATTTGCTGAGAAGAAGCCACACAAAACATTGAAAAAAGAACACGCACCATAGTAGGCTGCCAAGACCAGAAAAAGGATAGTTGACCTGGTGTGTGAAAAACAAAAGAAATTGTCGAGACCCAAGAAAAAATACCAGGAGACCCCAAGGGCTGTTGTTTGGAAGTCTAACCGGTAGTTAATGGACACGTCGGTGCCACCAATGTAGGGTCTCCTGGTTGCATCTTCCCCAGATGTCCCCATGCCAGGGGATGAAAGCCCAGTTCGGGAGAATAAGACATCACCCCTCAGCATCAGCAAGGAACGCTTCCCGCAAAGATCCACGAGTCTCCGGATTTTCGACCTCCAGAGACGGCGTCCGACGAAAGACGCACCACACGTCATCAAGGTCTGGACGATCCAAGTTCGCACCAAAGACCACCGTGCTGGGCAAAGGTGCCCCATGCTCGTCAAAGACCATTGGCTTGCATTCTTCAGGCACATTCACATGCTCCCAGTACATCTTCCTGAAGTCCACCAGTGGTGAAATAAAATACTAAAATTAGTGTGTGCTTCTTTTTGTCGTCCCAATCTACAGGGACTATCACTTTAAAAAAAAACTAGTTAGAGCAATCTTCAGTTAAGCCTCCGCTGTCTCTCCACATTCGCCCCAAAGCCCTGGACAAAAGCCCAATCCACCCCACATCCCTCGGCAGGATCGGGATCGCAGGACGGCCACTCCACACAGCCCTCGAAGTGTCTCTGGCACTCGAGCGCCTTCTCAGGAGAGCGGAAGTTGATGTAAGCCAAGCCCTTGCATTCCAACGTCCGGCGATCTACAGGGAGATAGAAATAGTCATACTCTCCCAAGAATTCATCATCCAGAAGCCCCAACAAGATCGGCGCCTGCCACGGCCGGGCACGGTCCGAAGCGAGTCCGAGAGTCTAAGAGTCCGAAAGAACGGAGATGTGTCCGGTTGGGCCCTCGAGCCACATGCATGTGAGAATTGCAATAAATGTAACCGACACTGCCATTGGGAGGGCAGTATAGATCCAACAGCATTTGAACCTGGACGTCATTTTGGAGGGTCCTCGCCGAGACCTTTTTGGTATTCGTAACGCTGTCGCCCATCAGAGATGTTTGTTACATATAATCCGGATATATCCGGATCCAGTTGTCGACATTCTTGAGGAATCCAACATAATCCAGACAACCCATCCAGAAATGGGTTATTGAAACAGGGAGACCTCCCAGTTTGACCCTCTGGAATAGGGAAAATAGACCAAAAACCATTGGTTGGGCCAGGGGGTGGGGGGGGGGGGGGGGGGGTTGGGGGCTCCAGGCATTTCTCCCGGAATCCAGTGGTCCTTATTACTTAGCGTCCATGCTCCTAGTAGTATGGCCAGTTGCGCCCCGTTCGTCGCGTCCTTGTTCCGTTCGAGTCGCGATGCCCGAAAGGCTCCTTTTTTTAGCTTCTTCTTCTTGCGCCCCGTAGCGATGTCGGTCGGCGTCCGGATCGCTCCGACTCTTCCGCACCTTCAGACTCTTCGGCAATCCGGTCAGCAGCACCGTCGTCCACTGGGCGAGCTCGCATGGACGGAGCATGACCGCTCGGCTGTGGCGAGCAGCGTCGCGGCTGGACGGAGTGAGCAGCTTGGGTGAGTGCGGCTGTGGCCGTGCGGTGGTGCGAGCACCTCTGGGTAAAGCTGAAGAATTGTTTGGGTTGCATCTTTCCAAAAGGAAGCCAGCAACCGTTCATCCCACTCAGGAAAGGTGTCTTGAATTTCTCAAAACTGGGAGAAACTCAGTGGGGCTAATGATCCCAACAGAATGCTGGCCGCATGCAGGTCGCGGCCTGACCGCACGGTCGGCTTGTGCCGCTCGTGCCGCTCCAGGTGTGAAGGCCGTGGAAAACCCGCAACGACTCACCACCGAGCCCGAAAAGGGGTCACCACCCCTAAGAATCCAGGCCCTTCTGGACCAGGTACCCTGCGAACTGGAGAGCCCAAGGATTCTTAGGGTACCCAAACAATCCTTGAAGTCCAAACTCTTCGCAGGGGAGGGAAGGACCTTGTAGGGGGGAGTTTTGAGACTTTCAGATTCACAGGGCGTAGAAACCCATGGAAAAAAGAAAACTCACATCCCAGGGAAGAGGAAAAATCAACTGTAACTTAACCCATTGATTTTGGGGGAGTCTCCCTTCTATACCTGTCCCAACCTTCGACTGAAAACATGTCTTCAGATTCAATAGACTGCCAAACAAACAGTTCTTCGCAACGGTGGTCCTTCTTTTTCGCCGAACACGGCACATCTGCGCGCGGCCATCTGCATCATCTGCATTGGCACGGCAAAGGGCCAGTGGGACGAACTCTCATTCTTCGATCCAGTACTTCCTTCTGAAGGTTCCAACAAGCCCAGTATGGCCCATCCATGTAGGGGCTGCACCATGCATTCTTCGTATCCTCACATCTAAATTCCTCACCCCTGGCCTTTTCTCGGCCACGTGACATGACCGTTCCAAAGGATCTCTATATAGGCTATGAAAGGAAGTGCTTCGAAACGAGGACCGAAACGATCGACGGGCGGAACATGCAGACTCCTTCCGCCGTCGGTCCGCAACTGCTCATGGATGACGTGAATGTGCGGAGAGACTCCGCCAAGGAGAGACGTGTTGGTCTTTTTTCCCCCCTCTAGACCCAGATCTCTCCTGCACTGACCAGTAAACTGGTCCCTAAGCAAGTCTGAGTTCCATCACCAGCAAGTCCTCCCAGCTTAAACTTGAAAGGATCTTCTGCTGCGCTACCTGAGAATTGAAGTTGATGAAACATGCCTTCAGGCATGTTTCGTCTTGCTAGGAATGAATGAACCTAGGCCCTCCTTTTGATTGCAGCCGAGAGGGTTTCTATGATATGAGATGAGTTGCTGTTGCCGTGTTGCTTGCTGTTATACTTGCCCTCCTAATTACTGGCACCTAGCTGCCCAAATCGTTGAAATCTCCAATCAGGGTAAGTATCCCAGCTCTTCCCCAGACATAGATTACCCATGTCTCCTACCTCTTGGAAGATCTGAGTCTCTTTCTTAACCGGATGACTGGATGACTTCACTTCAGCCGCACCAAGACCCATCACACCGCGACGAGTCAGACGGTCCATCACAGTCCCCCTGGCCCATCCGCTTACAAGTGACACATGCCATGCATTGGCAGCATCTCATTGGCGCACTCGCTGCCCGATACACAGAGGCGATTCCCTTAATATATCTTGGATTGATGAACCCCCCCCATATGGAGACGTCAGGCCATTCGTCACCCTGAAGTTCACAAAAGAAGAGACCTGTGGGAACATTGGGTGGCTAAGAAGATCCATCTGCAGCAGACCTGACGTGCATCACATATTGACCTGACGGGAAGTCTGACAATTCGGCACCCTCGACTCTTGCAACCACTCAAACACCAGGGACTCCCTACGTATACTTAATTAAATAAATTGGAGGCCATCACTATTTGGTTGGAGGCCATTGCTATTAGGTTGGAGGCCATCGCTAGTAGGTTGGAGGCCATTGCTATTAGGTCGGTTGCCATCGCTAGTAGGTTGGAGGCCATTGCCAGGCCATTGCTTGTTTCATGTCCAACACACCTGCGAACATGCTTGACCGGTGAACTTGCGTCATGCAGGCAGCTTTCGCGCCAAAAGAAGTGACCGAAACTCTGGGCCATTCCTGAGCGTTTCTTGTATATGTACAAACTACGAAGCCGGGTTGGCAAATGTCTTTCGTCCAATTTTATCCGCTCTGGCAAATCCTTTTTCTTTTGGTTCAGCTTCTGCGGTGCGAGTGAGGTTATAATATGGTTTCATCATCCTCAACTGGCACCGAGAGCCCCAATCCGCATAAGGTTGGACGACAACATCTATGGATTGCCCCCGCCCCACCTGGTTGGTTTCGACGGGAAAGAGGATCTGGGTGCGGACTCTGCTCGGGACTCCCATCTCCCAGACCTTGGTCCCTCCGTCGCCAGAGGTTTGGTCCAGGAAGTAAAGGATACACTGCCGAGACAAAAGTTGCGCTTCAAACTCAAACTCAAACTCAAACCCTTAACTTACCCCCTACGATCCTACACTGGGAGAGCTGGGACCGTGTGGGCGGTCATTTTTCACACGGTGAAGCCTACTTTATTGTTATAAATTATAAATTTGATATTGACGTTATATAAAACGGTGTGATAATTGACCGTCTCACACCTGCCACAAAAAAATGGGGCTTGGTAATTCGATCCGCGGCTGACCCTACTACCCAGTACGTTTGATTGTCACATGGTTAACAAGCATCAACCTTTTGGTTACAGCGTTAGATCCTGTCTGGTTTTTCTCTCCTTCTTTGAGCCCAGGGACTTCGTCCTCATTTGCCAACCCAGCTAACTCATCCCGTCCTCGCAGGTCCTCTCAGCTCATCCTGGCGGTCCTCTCACGACGCAGGGCGTACCGCCGAACCGGAGGCGGTCTGCGCGGTCACGGAGGAGAAGAAGTCACATGCGTCTCCTGTCTTGGTGTCCAATGGAGACGTCGAGTCTAGTGTATAGGCTTGTTGATGGGTGATTCCTTGAAAGCATCTGGTTCTTCGATGACAGGGCGAAAGGAGATTCCTTCGATGGCGAAGGCGAAGAACCGTCGATTTCGCTGACCGACTTTCGCTCGTTTTCGCTCCAAATCCCAAGTGTCCACACCAAGAATTTCCAGCACCATCTGCCCAAGAATACCAAACCGACCCAAACCCTCCAAAGACTCTCCTTTTCGGATCATCCTTCCCCCACAACACACCGGTCAGACCGGCCTCAAACCAATGTCTGCAGGGCTCGTGGCGTGTAGTGCACCCACGAGTTTGGCGACCGCGGCGACCTGGGTTGGACCGGACGGACGCGTCCGTCCCTGGCAATCCCCAAGCACGTGCAGAGTTGAGTTCACAAAGCTCCATGCAGCTTTGGGGTATACCGAGTAGAAGGTGTTGCTACGAAAATGAGAAAAAGCATCCTTAAAAGATCTTAAAAGTAACTGCATCAATTCCGTGCCATCGCTGTGTAGAACAACTGAGAGACATGCAGATGCTTTTTGTGAGATTCACGCCCCCATCTAAAACCTCAAGGCATCTGAAGATACCCGTTGTCCCTCCGTCGCATCCGACCATCCACCACAGCATGGTCCCGCTGTCCCTCGGTCGACCGCCGGCTCCCCGACGGCAGTGGCATCGTGGAGTAGCCATTGGAGGCGACCGACCTCGAGGTGGGCGACAAGGAAATCCAGTCCCAGGCACGGCGCGGCAGGTCGAACGGGGCGTTCCGTGCTACGAAAGCTTCGAGTCGCGATGGCCCTTTTAAAGCAATCTGTGGCGATGGCCACCGAGCAGCTCGGCGTCCCAAGAGCGTCTTTGGCTTTCATGGCGCGTGGGGGAATTGTAAAAGGCCATCCTCAGAGTCCTCCCCACTGTCTGGATCGTTCGCCCTTCTTGGGTCCCAGAACTCAAACTCTCACTCAGAATGACTGCACCCAGGTTCGACCCTGGACCTGATTTCTTTGGAGGGGTTAAATAGGACCAATCTTGTCAGGCTGGGCAGAGCGACTCACGGAGCGACAAACTAGGGGACTGGAAGAGATATTCCGAAGAGATGTTCCCGGTGGTACCACCCCAAGGTCCTAAAGGATCCTAAAGGTTACTGTGTTAAGATGTCAATCCCCGTCTTGACTGGGGGATGTGAGGTGCACCCCACGAAGGAGCTCCTAGCAGTCGTAGTGGTCCCACCTTTGTTGAACCAGGCCCACCTCCTTCTTTTCACTAAACCCTCCATCCTGCTGCAACATACCGACACCCACGGCAGCCGTGGGTGTCGGTATATTGCACACCAAACAAACTGGATCGAAATCACCCGATGCACTGCTCATCTTCAAAGCTGATCAGTATAATTAGCTATGATAGGAACTGGGCGAAAGCAACAGCCGCGCGACAGCTTTCTTCTCAAAAAAATGCTTGATGTTTCATTCACGGTTGACCTTAACCCCCCAAAAAAAGATGAGTCTTAGAAACCTTCAAGGAAAAGGACCATATGGAGCATGGAGCGTTCGCATCGTTCGCATGCGCCGACCGCCGACGGCACCGGGCCACCCGCACGCCGTGCGCATGGGATGCGGCGGGCTCAAGGGCGCCGTCGAGGTGCCTCCGATCGGGTCGACCGGGTCGACCGGGGTGGGGTCGAGCGGGTTGGGGGTGGGGGTGGAGGGGTGGAGCCAAGGTCAGTTTTGGTAACACTGACCTCATTTTACAATGGACTTGATGATACAAGAAAGAGAATTTGGAGAGACTCGATGAGGTTTTCAGGACCAGGGTTTTACTGGGTCAGACTGGAGCTGTAGAGAATGGATTCTGGGAGACTCCTTGGAGGTTTAGATCAAAATGCCTGAAAGCGCCTCTTGTTTGCAGAAAAAAGGATACAACTCAGTGGCAGCTTCTGCACAACCTCACCTGCACGACCCCCTGCGTTGGTCAAAAAGAATAGCACATGAGACATCTCCTGTTGCAAGTTCTTTTTTGGCCACAGGCAAAGCCAATGAGGAGGTGCGAGTTGTACTAGCTACAGAATATCTCAAACAGTAGCGATATATCCTGCAAACCTTGCATCCAAACCAGAATCATGTTTAAAGAGTCAAATTCAGGAGACCCCTCATTCCCTCCCTTGCCTCCCTTTCCCCTCGCCTGCTGGACCACTGGGCGACCGTGGTCGTGCCAGCGGTTCGCGCACCTCCCGCAGCAGCGGCACGAGACCGCCGCCCACGGAGAAGACACCGCTCCGCCCTTCGCTACCTGTGAACAGCGATCGCAGCGCCGGCGGGTTGTGCCACACGGCAGCTTGGGCCCGTAGCGTCAAGACCAGCGCCAAGACCATCACAGGAATTAGGTCTAAAGAATGGTTGACGTGGTTTTGTAGTCCAAAATCCATAGTAAAGCAATGGTTCTTTGGTAAAGACCAAATACAAGTTGTTGGAATCGTAAGGCGGCTTGGAGTCTGGGCCCGACCCATTCGCTAGGGAAATTTCTTCCCTGGAACTAACATCAATAACTGCGAAACAGAAGTGGAAAGGCCACATCCTTTCGCCTCGCCTCCCATCATCCCAGGATGGGCACACCGTAGTAGGCTTCCAACCATATCTTCAGGTGGTTCGACACCCATGGCACCACCGAACGGGATGTGGGCCATCATCCACCCCGCGAGGACACTCCCAAACTTCGTTTCCACCGAAAACGAAACGGCAGAGCCTGAGCTATGGAAGCCGCCCCCGGGGAACGTGTTCAAGCGCCGCGTCGTGGGCGCCGAGCCCTCGCTTTGCACCTGGAAAGCTCTGGACCCGACCGACTCGCGCCCCCGCGATGGGGATTCCAAGAGAAGGAAAACAGGTAAAAGCGTGGTGGCGCGTGTTGGAGGTCTGGAAAGAGAAAATCACAAACAGGAATGCCTCTGGCCAAACAGGTCAATCTGAAAAAAAAGCGAAACCACATCAATTAATGGTCATACTGGCCTAATCTTGACATAGTCCAGCTGTGCGGCACCCCAAAAAAATGCGTCCAGGAGCCAGGAACTCCATAAAATTTTGCTGAAATGGTCTGATCCGACTTTCCGACACAGGCGGAAGTGGTCGAGGCCGTCGAGGCACACCACCCAACAGGTCTCGAAGTGGTCCGTGTCTCTTCTGCAGCTCCTGAGGTGGTCGGAACACGTCGGACCAAACTGGAGATAGAAAAACACCACTGAACTGAAAGTGGTCGAAACTTCGGACATCACCACTCATCACATTAGTAAGGCTCACCAACTGCAAATGTTTTGTATAGTTGCATGATGTTTCGTCTGATGTTTCGTCTGATCACCTCACTTCTCGCGCTTAGGCAGGACGACGCCAGACCTCGTTGCTTAGGCAAGACGAGCTCCGGTCGACTAGACAACGATTGAAAGATCTTCCACACCTACGTAGGTCTATGGAGTCGAACCTATGTCTGGCCCCCCCAAAGGTTCGGTCCAGGTGATGTTGAGGGTCCAGGGAGTCCAGGGCCAGAACGGATCCAATAGAGTTTGAAGAACCTTATCGGCTACCTATGGGGTACCTGAGCAGGGCCCTTTTTCAGGTCGCTTCACTTCTCTAGGTCCTTTTCAACATCTTGAACTTCAGTTCAACGCCCATCTCCTGCAGCTGGCGGACCATGCCCTGGATCCGATCTTTGTATGTGCACTCCACATCCTCTTTCTCCTGAAGCATTCGTCGCCCGTCCCGTGGTCTTCGGGTCACCCAAATCCGAGTGATCTGATGCTGCGAACTGAAGTGTCCTCGTCTGAGGTCCAAGATGGACCATGAAAAAGGCAAGAGAATGGGCTTGGAATGCAAGGCTCCCTATGGGCTTGGAATGTTGGTGTCTACTTGATCTGATGCCCATCCATTCTAATTTTGATTGATAAGCCCTTCCTGCTGTTCCCCGCTGAACGCCCTGTGTCACGCAGCCCGGCGGTGTATCCAGGACAGGAGCTTGTCACATGCCAAAGTCAGCATCCTCCCAACAGCAAATCAGCCAGCCCATCTGACGATCAACTCCCAACTGTGCTTTTCGAAAAGGACAGCAAGTGGGAAAGGAACCACCCTAAGAATCTTGGACCCTCCATGGCAGGGCTCGGACCCGACACCTTCGCAGGGGTCCGGACCCTCAAAACCACTTCCATTTGAGGGCCGAACTTGGAATGGGAAGCTTACGATCTTCCCGGGACGTTTCATCCCGGCTCTCTCCTTCAGCTGTTGTCGTAACGCCTGAATCTCTGCATCTTTTGACTCCTCCTCAGCCCCATCGGCGGGCACGTTCGGTGGAGACTTGGGAACCTAATTACTAGAAATCCTCAGGATGACAAAAAGAACTGGATTTGGATGTCAAATGATCTTTTAAAACTAAACCTTGGTTTGCATCATTTTGCATCTCTCATCCACTCCAATTACTGGTCCCGCTGATGCTTCCGAAATGGTTGCCGCGGTGTCACTTCAGCGACTCCGCCCACTGCATTCAGCCCAAGGCGCCGCCCTGGACCCCGCCGTCGCCTCGCGCAGCGTCGCCGGCGCCGAGTGCGGCGCGGCCAGCAACGGCGCGGGCGGCAGCGTGGGCGGCGGGGAGGCCGGGCGGGAGTCCTGGAGGCGTCCACTGCAGAAGTGGAGAAAGGTGAAGGGTTGAGACAATCTGGAGTCCAGCGAACAGAAGGTGGTAGAACTGATATCTGGTACTGCCTGACATCTATCTACTCCAGGACGACGAAAAACGCAAAATTGAAGCACAAGGTCACAATTCATGCACACTTCTGGGTGTGACTCAGGAACTACTCACTCACCACCTGTGTGAGAGCCGTGGGGGTTCCCACAGCTAATAGTCCCCAATGGCCAGCCAGCGCCTCTCATGAACCCCGATTTCCTTCTCCAACAACATCGGCACCTGTCCATCCTCTCCTTCACCCCTCCACAGTTTCCCACAGTGCCCGCCTTCCGTGGTGTCAGGGTCTTTGTGGGACCTGTCGGGCTGTGTGACTTGGATGGTACAATGACAAATAGGCACAAGGAGGGGACCTCCAATGGGGGTTTCCCATCGAAACCCATCGTTCCCGACAACTGACCCCGATGCTTCTGCTAGAGGTGAAACGGAATTCACTGATCGACGCATTCCTCCAACCTCGGGTCTCGACCGGTAAAAGCGCCCGCCTCCGACGGAGACCGAGTGCTTGCTGCTGGTCCGCGAAGCGGGCTCCGACTCTAAGCCTCGGTCGGAACGCCGGACAATCCGGTCGAGGCGAACCAAGAGGGCGACGGTCGTCGCAAACGTCAAAGCGAAGCGACTGAGGAGTGGGTGGGTAGTGGGGGGGCGGAAACGCAAAGGTCACAGGTGGCAAAACACGCCGCAAATCCGTTTGAAGCGACATGGTGGATAGACCAGAGAAGGGTCTCCGCCGAAACAAACAACATGTTCCAAAAACATCAAGTTTCCAGCGGTTCCGCCAAGCTTGAAGTATCCAACTGGGTTATTCAGATCCTTTTGGAAGCCAAATAGCGGGGCAGAGGTAGGAGCGGGCAAGAGGTAGGAATGAGAGATGGTTGGGAGCAAGTTGCTCGCAGGCAAATGGGAGGATGCTCTGCAAAAACGCTTTGGAACTATATATATATATAGTTGAAGTTACTTCTGTTTTGATTGTGTGTGCGGCCGTTTTTCATATAGAAATATAAAATATTTGCTGAAGTAAACGTGGTTCGTTTAAATATTCTTACAAAGTTGACAACAAGGTGCCCAGGAAAATCCTTACAGACACCCGTCCGTCCAGGATAGCTAGGTCCCCAGTGGCGCTGTGGCGCAGCACTGAAATTCCATCTGGGATCTTGGATCTTCGCCACTTCAAGTAAAGGTGGTAATAATAGTATATCAAATGTAACAAACATTAACAAACAATGTTATATAGTCAAATCCTATAATGAAACATACGGCAGCGGTCGACAGGTCGACGCGACAAGTCATCCGTGACTTCAGTCCGTGACGCAAGTCACGGCAGAAGCGTCAAACGCCCTAAATCCCCAAAACATGCCCACAATTCCCACAAGTCGACCTACAAGTGCAGCTGCCGCGAATCAGTTCAACAAAACGTTGGGGTTTTGTTCTCGTTGTTCGTTTCTCACCCCATATGACATCGTATGACTGAGGTCCCCAGCCGAGCCGACCGATGGCGCGGACCTCCTTGCCTGTCTCGCACAAGTCCACCGCGCCCCGCTCGAATCAAAGCAACAAGCCGGTGTTCAGTATTCTGTTCTTTTCAGTGATCAACTTGGGGTCGGATGAATACTGTTCAATGCATTTGAAGCATTTGTTCGATGGATTTTAATTTAGTACGGAATGTACAAAGTAAGTACAGATTGATTGGTCTATTTGAGTTCTTCATTTCTGGCCCTGTTCAAACCAACCCTCTCATGAGGCTTGAGAACATTTTTTAAAAAAAAAGCGAAGACCAGTCCGTGCATTGAGTCGCCACTCTAAAATGTATATGTCAATCTGTTAACATGGAATCATCACATGTCAAGTCACATTGAATTGAATGTTCAACCGACTCAATCTGGATCAACTTCCGTGTCCAGAAGGTTTCGGGCCAGGTGGGACGGTGCGAAGTCAATCGCGCAACACAACAGGCCGGCCTCCTTCCCATGCCCCAAAGCCCCTCCAAAAGGTGCCCCAAAAAGCATTCCAAAAAGAAAACGTCGTGAAAACGATCACAAACCCACTTCCGCCGCTGTCCATCCTCCACCTCGGCCTTGAAAGAACCGTCAAAATGGGCTTTTTCAAAGGCCACAGGAAACAGGAAAACGGCCCTCCCGTCCACCCTCCGCCTGTCAACGAGCTCCGGCCTGTTAGGCGCAGTTTCGACGTCCACCAGTTGCGGTTGGATGGTGTGTCCTTCCTTTAGGCGCTTTCCAATATGGTCCAGAGAACTCCTTTTTCTAGATGTTCAAATATATGGAGGCGGTGAACGTGGTTTTTGTAGGTATCTCCACCAATTCCAGAGGATCGTGAAACTGGAACGAAGAAGGACATCCGAGTCGGAGGGTCCTAGACCCTGGGTTTGGCAAAAAGCAAATCAATGCGACCGGTTTGGACGCTGCCTCGCTTTTCGACGTCGCCTTCGACAGAACCCCGATTTCGGGGCTTGGAGTTAAGGGAGGAAGGCTGCTCCAGTCAAACGTACAGAGCCCAAGGTCCCGAAAAGGCTCTGATGTTGCGTTTTAGATCCCTGGTTTGAGTCAGAAACTGGTGGATCGTCCCCTTTCTGTAGCTGGGATGATGGATTCCCAATGGACAATCTCAACCCCATAGAGCTGGTTCTCTTGGAATATGCTATGGACATCCGCCCGTCGAACACAGAGCGAACCGTGGTGCCCAACACTCAAGGTCGTCCTGCGAAACGTCCTTGCGCTGGGCGTCCTCTTAGAGTAAAAAATGCATCCACCCCCTACTAAATCCAAAGTGGCTGGATGTCACGAACTTCACAGGTCTCCTATGAATGTGATGCGTTCATGCTGTCAGTCTCTTGTGGTTCTGTTGTTTCTGTCACTCGGAAGTGCCCGTTCGCTCAACATGTTTTTGATTGGATCACTGGTTGGATGTGCTGAAAACACCCTGAAGCTCCCAAGCCGAGGCAGCTTGGCAAAAATATTCCACCTTGCACCTTGGCCTGATTCAAACCAGCCTGACGATGGTCAAATGCCATTCCCCAAAACTCCAACCACCTGCCAGCTTCCCCTGTTGGAGGCCGCCATTTCAAAAGAGCCATGGCAACCCACGGCCATACACTGGCTTCAGAGTAAGTACCGTAGATGGCACAGACCCCATGTTCTTTAAATGGGGGTCCATATAAACCACCGACCACCTCTTGGGGTCTGTGCCATCTACTCTCAACCCCACAGCTATAACAACCTTGAGCTAACGGTGCACACCCCGTCCGTTTCAGGGTCCAAGGCCTGAGTTCACCACCGAAGGCGTGTTGGAGAAGAGCTTGGAGCTCTGACGGGAGCTCACGGTGCTCACACCTGGCACAAAGATGGAACTCGAACTGGAAGAAAAGGAGGCACTCCCTCATACTCCCGACACACACTCCAGAAACACGTTACAATTTCCCTATCTAGAATGGAGTGGAGAGTCCCCAGGACTTTCAAGTCGCTGATGTAACGGACAGGGCGACTCACAAAATAATCTATAGCAAAAAGCTGAACCTGTATGGTTTCTGCAACTTGCTTGAGCACTGCATGACGATTTTCCCCTACCAATGTACGTGTTCTTTCTCACCAGGTTAGATCACGCTGGTAGACACAAAGTAGGCTGGTAAATAACAAAAATCAGCATTAGACATGTCTATCCCGGCTGAAACCCGTTTTTGGCCGAAGACAGAGACCCAAACCACCTTGCAGCCGCTTGCTGCTCTGTCGCGAATGTGCGGCCGAGAGCGCTTGAGAGCGATCGCCTGCCGCCGGCGTGGGTCGGGCGGGTGGAGAAGGGAGGATGCAAAGCTGAGAAGATGCCCAGTGACTGAGTTGTGAAGCGGGCAGTAACTGGGCATCAAACGGTATGAGACGCCACCAAAAAAGATGACCACAGTTCAGCTCTGACCGTCTTCATCCAGAATGCCTATGGGGTCCTAGAATTCCAGAGGTCACACAAAAGGAAATCCTTGGCCAAAGGTCAACTCTGCGCAGCCTGCGACAGACATCTTCCTTTCGACCTTTGAGCAAATCGATCGAACAGCGCTCGATTTCGCATGTGGGCTGCTTGGCAGCACCTGCGCCAGTCTTGTTGCCGTTTTCCAACTTGGAGCTCAACAGGCTTTGTCGCAGCTCCTGTCAATCAAGAAGATGGGCATTCTTCAAAACATGTTTAAAACCACCAATATGGCACACAGCAATCCAGACTGCGGGAAGAAAGGCACTTAAAAAACTTTCCTACAAGGGAAGAGCTATAATGGAATTGCTAAAACTTGCCCTTGTCGTGTAGAACAAGAGTTGGTTGTGTGGTATGCTGTTGGAAGTCGGTGGGTTCTTACATGCGTCCATCCCAATCCCTCAAAGGCAAACAGTTGCATTTTTGGCCCCTCCATGCAAAAGGCACATGGTTACGTGGAGTCAGAACCCAAAACGTCCACTTAACCATGCTTGTTGCTGGCAGGGGCACCGTTCTCCTGCTTTGTTCCGATTCTGGAGGCTCCAAGAGCTTTTATGACCCTTTACTTCATAGGTTTTTTGGAAGACCCTGGGTAGGTCTTTGCCATCCACATTAGTCCGAACGGCTTTTCCACATTGGCTACGCCGTGCCGATGAGAACTCCGAATCTACAGTACATACACTCTAGGGCTTCTATCCAACTATCATCTGTCTATACTATAATTCTACATCCAACCGTGAAGTAAAGGAAATTCCCTTTCAGGCACCCTAAAGACCAATATGTTTATGGTCTTTGACTTTGAGGGCATACATTTAATCTACTTCATGAACCTGACCGTATACAACCATTATCAGACTACTTAGTCCCATGGATGGTCTGAGAATGCTTCTCCCAGACAACTTGGAAAGGTCTGGCTTTCAAGTGAAAGGGCGATTGGTGGGTGGGAATTCTCCAGGGCTGGGCTGTGATTCTTGACCCGATGAACCATGAAAAGGCCAAAAATCGACCAAAACGTCAAAAATGAAAAAAAAAATAATCATCGGCCACGACCAAAAATCGACCAAAACCATCCGACCATGTCAAAAATGAAAAAATGAAAAAAAAAGAAAAGAAGCATTCGGCCACGACCATCCGATGCCTTCGGCGAAGGACGACGAACACGCACGAAACCACCGACGCAACGCGAGCGCACGGGTGGAGAGATCTCCTCGATGCGGAGCTGCTCTTCCACGGACTTGTGCATCTGGACAATCAGCTCCACCGTCGATGGGTCCATCCAAGGATCCTGGAGGGGAGAGGTCGAGCTCGAGGCCAGGCGAAAGGATAGGAAAGGAGTGAGCTCTGAGCTCAGGTGGGCGGAGGAGGAGGTCGAAGAAGATGAAATAAGACCAAAAAAAATACAATTCTGGGGTATAGTTGGACAGGGGCTGAAGGGATGGGCATGGTTCTGCATAGTTAGACAGGTGGTGGCTGAAAGGATTGCGGGTCACTCTTGCAGCACTTGTGCTCTGGAAGATCACTCTCGAGGGCCTCTCTCTATGCCCTGCTCTTGGGTCACTGGAGTGCTTCGGAGTGGCGAACCCTCTTTCACCTGCGGCTTGGAACTGATCCTCGTCACAAACACTCTTTCCCACAGGTGCCTGAACGAAATATCGCTCCGAAACACACATGACACATACAGCCCAAGCTTGCCGCGCACGATTCTGCGTGATGACCGGTGTTTTCGCGATTCCTTTCCATCTAGACTTATGATGATCAAGACCCATCAAAGACTGGAAGTCATTAAAAAGATTTAAAAAATAAAAATAAATAAATAAAAAACAAAATAAATACAAAAACAGAAAACCCTGTCAAAGACCGTCCTTCCCTCCATTTCGAGCTGTGTTGTTTTTGTTTCTTTTTTGTTTCTTGTTTGTTTCTTTTTTGTTTTTGTTTTTTTTTTGTTTGTTTATTTTGTGTTTCTTTTTTGTTTTTTTTGTGTTTCTTTTTTGTTTATTTTTTGTTTATTTTGTGTTTTTTTCCTAGGGTTTTTACAGAAAACCTGATTTCAAGGCCAGCTTTTGCTAGAACAGAAAAAAAACAGAACAAATAGACGTGTTCTGGGTGCTTGTGTTAATATTGTTTTATGTTTGTTTGTTTTTTGTTTTTTTGTTGTCTGTTGTGTTTACACATTTTGTGATTGTTTTTTTGGTGCTGTTTGTTTTTTGTTTATTTTTTGTTTTTATTGTCTTTTTCAGGATCATCAGTTATTGATTATTTATTTTTCATAAATCTAGATCTGAGAAACACCCAGAAAAAGATCACATCAACTGGAGGATTGGTGTTTCTCAAACACACGATGCCTGGAATCATCGACGACCGTCACCCAGACCGGGAGACTGTCGTCTGTTTGGGCCGTTTCTTCGGTTCGAGGAACGCGGAGGGATTGCACGGAGCGCCACAACATTCGAGGAGGTATGAGGAGGTGCAGAGATTCGAGGAACCCGGAGATGGGAAGAAAAAAACTCAACAGCTCATTGTACTCCCCCCAAACCGTCAAATCGGGAAACTCTTGGATCCTCTTCGATATTCTTCGATCCAGCTGATTGCAGATGTTCATGTTGATCTCTAAAGATGACAAAGACTGAGCAGGAAAATGATCACCATTTGGTTGCTTCCACGTCATTCCTCGGATATACCTCTTCGAGGGAGTACATGGGAGTACACTCCCCAGTCCCTGACATAACAAACTCAACCAATGGCAGATGATGATTGAACTCAACTCCACCAGGTGTTTGTGCCTCAAAGCTTTTGGAGTCCAAAACCTCAAAAACAACCTACTCCCGCGCGAGCAGGTCTCACCCCCGGTCCACAACCCGTCGCGAGTCCCACAGACCTAGGACCTCCTAGGACCACCTAGCGCCTCTCACATCCAGTCGTGACGTGTTCAGTGCGGGCCGCTCGTCAGTCCACGCCTCGAGGGGGTCGCCTTTGCCAGTCCACCGTCCCTTACTGCAGAAGGTGTCGTAGCCTGGAAGTCAGTGAGCTTTGACGAGGAAGTGTACGGCTTCCTCGCTTAACCCGCTTCCTGGCCCACCATATGGTTTTTGCTCGTGTAAATCGAATCAAAAGCAGACAATTTGCAGTTGGAAGACCGAGGTATGGTTAATGGGTAGGTGTAGAAAAGGACACCACAACCTGTGCAAAAGGTCATACTTTCCGAGCCACCTCCATCTCCATCCTGGAGCAGATAGAATGTGGCACATTTGTCCAAACACAAGTAGGAAACTATAGGCAACTGGTCATCTTTTCGGTATATTCTATTCGGATATCGTATATAATGATAGACACCCTCCCTGCTTCATTCCCATCCTCTCTCCCCCCAAAAAGAACAATTCATCCTGGGAACAGTCCCGCATCATCTCCAGGCGTTGCTTGAAGCTGTCCACCCTCAGCGTTCAGACCAACTCAGCCCCCGCGGCGTCGATGCATATAAAAACCACTGGAGGAAGGGGGAGTCAGTTCTGTCGCAAGGGACAGCTTGGGCGAAGGCTAGAGTAGAGCTCGTGCAGCGAGGCAGGCGGCAGTGCGCGCTGGACCACCCAGTTGGGTAAAACTGGAGACTTCTACCACCTGGCGACGTTTCGTCCATATCCCTCTCAATCATGAAACATGCTGTACCACTCAAAGTGTCCTTCTTCCTTGGTACCAGACTTTCACCTCCAAAGCCTATGACCAAGCATACCCGTGTCGACACTCCATATAGGTAAGATTTACCTACCTTCCGGTGGTTTCAGGCATCAATGGAGGCATACATACAGCATACAGACATTCTCTCCATACTAGTTCACTTCTCTGGCACCGTGACCACCGGACGAGGGGTCTTGACGCCGAGCGGCGTCCAATAGGAGAGCACCGAGGCGTCTTGGCCGTCGGCGCTCCACTGGGTGATGCGGATGATGATGATGATGTCAGAGACCTCGAAGGATTGGAAGCTGGGGAAAACAACGAAGCACAGGGGCACCATCGTTGGAGTCCGGAGTCCGGCGCTTCTTTTCTTTGGCGCTGAAGAGTCGCGACGTTTGGCGGGTCTCCAGGAAAGGGGTCTCCATGTCATGGTTGGAGTGAGTGGTTTGTCATGGATTTTCAGTGGTTGAAGGGAGGCTCCAAGACCCGGATCGTTCCAACACCGATCACCATGGCGGCGGATCGATGACCATCGACCGCTGAACCAGTGGTGCTTCAAACGATCGAGCCGACATGAAGTCATCTGAAATCAACTGCGATTCGTGGCGGATGAAATGGTTGCCTCAAGAAAAACCATTGAAAAAGGACCAACAAAAAGTAGGTCTTCCAACAATTGATGTTCAACACGCCCTCAAATAGAGTGTATAGCTCAAAAAGGGAGACCTCACAGTTCGACTAACTGGAAGAAGGGAAATAGACAAAACGCGTTGGTTCGGGTCTCCCTATTAAACCACACACCCACTCTTCAGGCTTGGGGGGGTTGAAATATCATCAGCATGATTCGCCTTCCAATTGGGCATATATAAGGAGACCACACCGCTGGAATCGGACCTTCTGCTCTGGCGGTTCTCCAGTCAACAGGTGGCCCCCGCGTGTCGGTGGATGTCCCAAACGAGTTCCACCTCAAACTTCAGCCGGTCCTACCAAGAAGTGGCGCTTGGCAGTGGGGTGTTCTTTCAACAAAAACACGTCGTGACATGGGGGACATCTGGGGACATGCTGAGATGCACTTGGCAGACAAAATGTTCAACAGCGGCACTAATTGTGAGGAAAAAAAAAGAAAAACTGGGACTGTATGGTGCACTCCAGCCCTTTGCAATAGTGCCAAATGCCACAATCTTCATATTGATTTCAGCAGCTATACAGTGTTCAACCTGATAAATCACGCAGCTTTCCTGCTTTCGCCGCACGCATCCTCCGTCAACTTGGACGTCCTTACATGTCCTACAATACCGAGCTTCCCATGAAGCCGGCACTGCCCCGCATAAGTCGTTTGGAGACCACCTTCGGAGATCAAGAAGTCTTTCACTACCTCGAGAGGAAACGGACATGCTGATCACTTCCCGCAACAACAACAACAACAACATCGAAGGTTTGCATCGAGTGCATCAAGTGCATCGGAAAGGGTGACTTACAGTGACCTGGGGAAGATATCCGAACATCACCCGCAAAACGACTCTTCGCTTAAATCCGATTTACCTATTTGTTTCTTCAAAGGAGAGCTTGACCCACAAGGGAGGGCAGGTTCTGAGGGTCTTGTGAAGAAGCGTCCCCATCTCCAGGAAACCACACATCGTTCCCAGCACGTTTCTCCTTCCTCCGCAGCTCCACCGGGATCATCCCGGATCCCCACCGACCGGTCACGGCCGGTCCTCAGAGCGCATCTCCGTGGTGATGTCATTGGCCTCATCCACCAGGTAGGCCGCCTATCAAGCGACGCAACACGCACGCACCGCCGATCAGCGACGTCGGGAGTTCGCGGTTCGCGACGTCGGGAGTTCGGACGTGGTGTCCAGGTAGGCCGATCTTGGGTAGGTTTCTGGATCCAAAGAATCGATGACGATTTCCAGCTGGAAGGAGGACAATGAAGCTTCAGCTGGTTCCGGACCAAGGGGAGGCTTCAAATGGAGGCTTTGGAGGGCCAGGACTGCCCATGAATTCCATTCACCCCACGAGACTGAATGGAAAAAAAACCGACAAGGAACTCACTGGGATGATGAGAATGATCTTGGAACATCTGGGTTCACTTGCAACAGCTGCCAATGAAACAGCAAGCTTTGGGACGAATGAGATCGCTCACCGTCGCAGCAGTTGGCTGCCCGGGAAACAGGCAGTCATGCCACCGCGCGCGCAAAACGACTCCACCTGGACAGTCGACCTGATCAGCGATCCCGCCCCAGCCAGTCAGCTTGTGGCTTCATGTGGCTTCGATCTGCGGGACTGGCCTAGAACCTCCAACTGTGCCAAAGTCCTTTTTGGGTGTGAAAAATTAGATGAAAAGGCATAGATCGGCCTTCCGTCGTCGCGCAGCAGTTCGCTAGATCATATCATATAGGCATGCAGATCGAAGTCGCCCTTCCGGGTGCGCGCCGCGCCGAAGGCGCCGTTCGGCCGGCGCCTTGCTGAGATAGTAGAAGAACTCGTTCCCGCGCTCTTCGCCCAAGCGTTCCCACAAGTCGCCCAGGTACAAGCGCAACTCACTCCTCGCGGTCGCGGCTTTTTCGGCGCAAGAAAGCGTGCTCAATGGCGGCGAAAGACGTGAGGAGTGGAACGGTGGAACCAACGGGTGGTTGAAAACGAAGCCCATCCCGGAAACCTGGTTGCTGGTGCTCTGGGATGACTTCATGGGAGACTGAAATGAGATTGATGGTCTCTGATAGTTCAAGCAATTCCAAGACTCCCTGCTGAAGAAGACTTCGCTTGTGACCAAATTACATCAAACTCCTATACCCCAGAAATCAGGGCCTTCCGCGAGCGTGTGTGCGAGCGACGTCCGTGGCGTGTTGTGCCAGCTCGCTCCAGGCTTCACTTTCGTCGTTCAAGATGAGCTTCATGGTGTCGTGCTTCAGCATACTCCGTTTCTTGATGACCTGGTGGTCGATCGAGTGATCGGAATCGAATTCGCAGCAGATCTCAAAGCGCAGGTCTTCATGGAGTCTTCATCGACCAAATGGTCAGCTGACCCCGTTCATGCCGGGCATTTGGAGGGGATCAGGTTCTGGATGGTTCCGGTATATTGGGCTTCCGTCAACTGCAATGGCTCACAAGAGCATCGGGTGCGTATGCGGAGGTTGGGTCTCACGGGTAGCTCTTGACAGTCAGTGTCACAGCCAGGGAAAAAGGCTACATGATGGACAAAAAATGAATCTGAGATATCAGGTGGAATCAGCTGGCGAATGGGAAGCATCCTGCACGCACAAAAGAGTGGCCTAGATATACCATGATATACCTGTGGTTCGGAGGATATGATGGCCTGCAGAAAACTGGAATGAAAGTGCAAAAAGTCTTGTGTCACGGTGTCTTAACCAAAATCGTGGTCCTTCCTCTTCAACTTTAATCCTGTTTAGCAATTCAGGTTTGTTTTCTGCAACGATTTATGTCCAATCAGGCACCACAGGCAGATGGACAATGATCATGAGAGGTTCTTCGATCCTACCTTGAGGGACTATGCCCCTAGCGGCCCAGAGGCTGATTACACCAACAAACAAAAAACCTCCTTCCCCCTACCCTATCCTGCTTGCCAATTCGTGCTCTCACCATCACCCGGCCACCCACGCGCCAGCCGCCACACCACCGAAAAGCGCCAGCGGCCGCCACAAACGGATCACTCTGGGTTCACGGACTTTCACATCCACATCCTGGCCGCCAGCTCGGCCGCTTCCACACGTCGCGCAGATCCAACGGTCGGAGAGACACTGAGACAGGTCCCCCAAAGGTCATGAAAGGTCCTGATCCTGGTGCGCAAAAGAAGAAGCAGTCTGAAGCAGTTGGAATGTGCAATCAGAAGCCCAGGATGTCAAAAAGAATCCAAAAGACCCACCTGTGCTCCGTGTTCAAGGCATTCGCCCACATGTCGCCCTCAATCGCCCCTCCTCGGAGGAGTCGGTGTCCGAGTGATTGGAGAGGGACTTGTTCGCAGCCAGGTCCTCCGCAGGTCGACAGGGCGGGCACTTTCCGAACGCCGGTCGACCGGGAAGGTCGACCGGGAAACCCAAAGAGGTCGACCGGTCGACCGGCCTCCGGGGGGCGGCGTTGGTTTCATGGAGGTCTGTCTGAAGCAATCGGGGTTTGATGGTCCAACGGTCCAGGGGTGTTCCACGAGAAGAAACGGCGAGCTCACCCAAACACGCCCTTCTTTGGGACTGGAAGAAGATGCCGGTTCCAGAACAGAACCCCCCGGTTCCACGAAGCACGCCCGAGACTCCGACTCTTTGTTCGGTCAGACTCGCCACACAGACGAGAGGGTCGTGAAAAACGCCTGGGATGTCCTGCAGGCTTGCTTCCGACATCGACTCGCTTGAAGGACGCTCCAACTCGATATCGGTTGAAGTCACGGGCTCGCGATGTGAAGAGGGGTCTCTCCACATTCCGATGGGTACCAATTCCGCTGAAGCGCTTCGGCTTCGGCTTCGGCTTCCGGTGCTGAAACAGTCTGAGGGGCTCCTGCTGCTCTAAGGGCACCACCAAACGCATCATCCAGGCCTCGGTGCATCGAGAAGACATCAGTGACAGAAGCTACGTTCCTAGCTATTTGCTACTAGTAGTAGTGCCCTTTGTTCCTAGTATCGATGCCCTGTGTTACTATCTTCACGGTAGTTGTTTCAGGTGCATGGCCAAAGGATGTCTTCACATCCAGTGGTTGGACAGCACCATGTCATGAATGGATGAGTAAACCCTGCTTGCATGAGTTCACTCTCAGATCTGTCAATGCGCAGCGTCTTGAGCTAAATATCATATAGCCCACGTCTGAGCGTCTGTGACCTGCTCAGAAGATGTGTAGAAGACGTCTTAAAAGGTAAGAGGTCTGGCTTCTGAGCCCTGCTTCGCTCTCGGGAGCTGTGCTTCTGGGCTCGTCTTCGAAAAGCGCCGCAGATCGGTGCATCAAGACCATCAAGATCGATGCCGTGCGATGTGCGATCGCGAAGCTGAGCAGTTTGGTTCCGCGGCCCCAGAAGTGGTTGCGTTCAACCGGCCGCTGCCAAGCTGAGCCGAATCAAGCCTTTTCCAATCAAAAGCCCTGCTCTGGAAGAGTGAGATGGTCCGTCATCCAAACGGCGCATGACGTCTCAATCCAGTATCTTGGGCTGCCAATGACAATCTCTTGTTGGACGGTCCTTTTTTGTGAAGAGTCAACGCACCCAAAGCAAGAGTCTGTATGCCAGAAACTGCTTCTGTGAGAACTGATGTTCCGGCCGGTCCTTCTCAGCTTTGGCTTCTTCGTCATGGGAAAAGGCCAAAGGCTAAGCGGCCCTCGTCATGATAGCATCATTCGACTAGATGCAGGCCGAGTGAAAGGGTTTTTCACCAGCTTCCAACACTGGATCGACAGATCATCATCGGCTTTAATGGTGTTCGCTGCCGACCAAGACTCATGACTACTGGTCGTCATGACTCATGACGACTTGAACACAAAAATTATCCCGCCAAGAGTGCGGCCACGGCGGGAGGGCGGGAGATCCTCTCGTGTGCCTGGTCCCGTCCTGGTCCTAAAGACCTCATTGGCTCATTGCGTAACTGCATGAACAACTCCAAATGAGCTCAGGGAACTGACCTCTACCAGGGCCCCCGTTTCAGGGTGATTAATGGATACCATCCGAAACGCCCAAGTGGCCACTCAACCAGCAGCTTAGCTCATGAATCACTACGTAGTAGGCTGGCCAATCTCCATCTATGGAGAAGCCCAACCGAACCCCAATCTACCTTCAAAACCTCTTCGAATCTCCTCTGGCACCCGCCCTTGACCTCAGGTCACCCCCACCACCCACTTCATCCAAGTGGCCCTCCCAAACAGCAGTCGGTCGAAGTGCTTCAAGCGTCGCACTTCGTCCGGCTTCAGCAGCTGTCCATTCACCAACACCTCGGACCGTCCGTCCAACGCGACTCGCCGGCGGCCGCAGGGCAAGGGATCGGATGGAAATTTGCCCCCGGGCAGAACGAACGCCGAAAACAGAAAGAACACAAAGGCCGCCGGCCGCCGATTGATTTTTTATATTTGTTGCCCCTGCATTTGATGTAAAGTTTATATAAAGTCTGTAGAGGATGTCTTGTCTCTATAAAATGTGTTGGCCAGCGAATTGTTGTGGGTCCTCCCACATGTGTGTGTGAGGCCAGCGAGCACGGAAGATGACGGGTGAGTAGGGTAATTTTGGGGGAGTGCATTCTGCAAGATGTGCGAGGGTTGGATGTCTTTGTTCGGGGCACGAGTCCTTTTGTCAAAATCCCGGCCATACACGAACTGCCTGTCCTTCAAATATTGAACCTTTGCGCCTGGGGTGACTCAAGACCTGCGCTTGGACTCAAAGTGAAGAGTAACCGTTTCACCCATGCATGTTTCTGGCCGAAAACAACATGAAGAAGCAACAGAAACAAGCGCAGGGCCTCTTTCAGGAACAAAACAAGCAGCTGGGCGCTCGCCTTAATTCATGCTCCCAAGCATCTCTGGACCTCTCCGAGACATCCTCTCGGGGGACGCTAATGACCACCTGAGGTCATGTCGACGAGAGGTGGAGTCGAATCTCGTCAGGGTAGGACCTTCGGACCGCATCGTGCAGGCACGACCATGGACCTCGCCGACCCGAAAGGAGATACGAGGATCGAAGTGCAAAGGATCCGAGACTTTGGGGGTGAGCCAGGCTGGAGGCGGATGCCCTCCCCAATGATACTCCGACTCACGAGGTGTTCTTTGGATGGCACCTGGTGCCCGGCCACAGATTGTGTACAAACATTGCATGGTCAGAGGCCAGAATTTCCACCAAACCATCTTCAATGAGTGGATCATCGCTGATCAGGGATGCTCTAGAAACGTTTTCCTTTGGATGTTCATGGAATAACAACCACAAACATGATATGATATGTTTAAACAGCATATGTCATGACCAACCGATACAAACATCGGTTCAAACATACCCCTAGGCCTAGGCCCCCAAACCCTAAACCCCGAAAGAAAAAAACACTCACCCGGTTCAAACGACTCCTTTCCGCTCGCAGACTCCTTCGCTCGCTTGCCTCGCCTGTCGCTGGTCGGGGTTTCGGAAGTGGCACACGAAGTCCGAGATCCCGAGGCCCTTGATGACCTGACGAGGGGCGGCTGGGTCGCTGGGGGCGGCCGTGGTTCCGATGAGGATCAGGATGGTACTGATTGGTCTTGTGATGGTGATGGTGATGATGACGCGTTTTGCTGGTCTACTTGCGGATGATGTTGCAAAGCTTCACACAGTTTCCAGCAGGAAACAACACAAGGCCAGGAGGGAAAGGCACCAATTTCAACCTGGATGACCCTCCTAAGTGGAACAACTGCGCGGCTTATTCACCTTCTCGCGGCTTGGCTTCAAGCTTCATCCGAGTCCCAAGTTGAGTCATCTGAGACGGCCCGGATGCGACGGCGCGGACGAGCCAGGTTTGGATGACTGCACCGAGCGCATCCAACGTGTCACACCGAGGGTCGTCCCCAGCCAGTTGCTCCGGGTGGCGATCTGGTTCTCTGGGTGACTACCCAACTTGGTCAGCTGGCCCTGGCGAACAGCACAGAAGCAGCGATCGGGTGACAACAAGCTGACAGGTGGATTCAGGTGGATGAGCTTTCTTCACGAAAAGAACTTCACAGAAAACCACTGTCTTCCTTCCTTGCAGTAGTCTATCACTGAGGAAAAATGGGCCTTGGTCCCCAATGCAGGAACAAGACAAACCCCCAACCAATGGCTGACCCAACACGAAAAGCGATGCGCCCAAGAGTTCTGGTCCGTCCGCTTCCTCGCCTTCGGAAGGAAATAGACCAGGCAGCCTGAGAGCACTGGATCATCGCCTTGGCTTCGCCAAGGCGAAACCGGTGAAGCGGCCGAACAGAGAAACACCGGTGGAGCCAGATCGTGACGGTCACGAAAAAACAGAGCCAAAACAAAAAAGATTTCAGAGGGGCATAAGAGGATCTTTTGTTGCTCCACATCTGCTTTGCTCGTTCGTAGAGGGGCACAACATCTGCAACAGAGTCCTTGGAATGTTTTTCGGGCAAGACTTCCGTAAAAATACCACAGCTGGCGCATGCGGAAAGCGGGCGCCAAGTCACTCATATTCAGCAAGTGAGGCGTGTTCCTAGGCCAACGATCGTGTCACCTCTCCGACCCACAGTGCCATCGGGTGTCGTTTGTCGGTGTCATCGGGGCGAAGAAAAGGGTCCGATCTCATGAGGGGATGGTCGGCTCGTGGAGTGGTTGGTGGGGGCTGTGTCGAACCAAGTGCCCGTAGTCTACGGCCTACGGATGATTTAGGAGGTCGCTGAAGTAAAAAAATATGATAAGTTCACCAACAATCACCTCAGGCAATAACGGAACCACACGGAGTTTTTTTCATGAAAGGCATCAGCCCAACAGACCAGCCAACGTCGATGAATTCAACCTCGTTGACAGCGATCCTATACGTAGGGTACGTGTGATGCTCCCGTGATCAGCAAAAACCTGGCGATTTGTGGAGCACGACGTGGGAGGAACTGGTGCATTGTTTTTTTTCGGCACGACAACATGGAGCTCAAAAGCTCAAACAAGCAGAGGAGCGTCGGCTAAGAGTCTGAAAAAAAAGGATGCTCCGGTGGCAGTGGTCGCTTGGGTTTTAGGCATCTTTCGGGTGTCTTAAGATTGCCAGGGCTCCTAAATGTGATTGCTCCAAGGCAACAAGAACTGGGTTCTGGCTTGGGGAGAACCCCATCATTCCTCACGCTGGTCTGTCTACATAATCAGGTTCCCTCAAAGGTTTTTCACCTGTCTTTTCTCCTTCCAGAGAGACTTGTTTCTGCCCCCCAAGTCTGTCAAGCAGGATCAACCGCTGAACATTCCCTCACCACGCACCGGTTGGATGAGGACATATCATCCCTTCGTGTTTTCTCAACCAAGGAGGGTGTCCAGGTCCAAACGGATTGAAGAGGTTGTCCATGGACCCAAAGGGAGTCCAAGCAGAAGAGGATCTTCAATGAACATGCGCACACACACACACACACCAGCAGTTGCTTTGCAAAGAAACACACTTAGAAGAAAGCTCGCAAGAGCACAGTGCAGTTTCAATCTGGAGTGCTTTAACCCTTTAATGCATTACCAGATTAGACCTTGACCTCGAAACAGACCGACCTTATCAATGGCCAAGAACGTTAACAGGTGAAACTTGTTTTTTGTGCCACCGAATCTTCACGCCACGCAGGCCCTTCGTCTCCCCCAAGGTTCCCCGTCTGCGCGCAAAAACGCGATCGCAAGAAGAACCGATGCAACTGGGCGGCTTTTCGAGACCGAAGACTTCATCCACATCCTGTGCGAAGTCGACGACTGCAGACGAACGACAGTGAGTTCTTCTCGGACGTGACGCAAATAACTTGGTTTCGAGATGTTCTTGATTTCGAGATGTTCTTGATTTTTGTTGACCCATCCTGGGACTGACATCTTTTTCAGGCCGTTGTTGATTGAGGCCAGGGGTCTAAAAGGCCGGATGGACGCGACACGGGTCGTGTCTGGACTTCCATCGTTTTGGCCGGAACAGTTCAACCGGTTCAGGAGATGCATGGTGCGTATCATGGATGTGCGGCGAAATGAGAACGTAGATGATAGGTGATAGTATCAGCTGTGAGTCAAAACCTCAAGCCCCATTTTTTTCACCCTGGTAGGTTGATCTTCTTTGTAGTCTATTCTGTTCATGTTTGGTGACCCACAGCCATATAAGTTGTCCGGAGATCTGCAAAGGTTATTCTTTTCTGTCGCAGAGAATGGTGCAACATGGTCGTGGGTCATGTCAGTGATAGACAGGTTCCTTTCGGCCTGAGCAGGGATTGAATCCTATCAACTCGTCCAGTTCTGAAAGTCATTGTCCAAGCAAAGCAACCAAATGAAACGACAAGTGGACAAGTAAATCCGGTAATATCCAGTACATTCTGTGTCTTTCCATTGCATGCTCGTTTAAAAAATGCAAATCTTTGGATCTTCAAGCAAGGCCTTTTGACTCCTCACACTGAGCGCAATTCACACTCCTTTCCAAGATCCAAAACTGCGCAGCAAAACTTAAAAGAAGTTCGAGGTTTCAACTGCCTCTCAGCAAAACCAGCTCCCTCATTCCAAAGGACTCCTTCTACATGTGCCATCACCTACCCCCGCCCCCCGCCTCGTCCGCATCAACGCTCCCACCAGCCCCGAAAAAAATGGCCGCGCTTTCCGCCCGCGGCACCTCACTGCTGAGGCCCTGTTGGTCCAAGGCCTCTTGCCGCGCCGAAGCCAAGAGCTGCGCCTCGCGCTCCGGGCAAACGCTCGAAGGCTCGAGAGCCGCGCACGATCGCGAGGACCGGGCTGATGCCGAAGCCCAACGACGACGAGGGACATGGCCCAACCGGATTTGAGTCGGTCTCTGTGTTTGCTTGAGAGAAGACTGGCATAACGTTGAAAGTAAGAACTCGAAGATGGAAAAATTCAGTGTTGACCAAATGAACACCACTGGCTTTCATGCTCAGAACAACTCCTGCGGAATGAATCACAATATTGGCTTTTCTCGAGACAGCTATGTTCGGTGCATCTCAGCACGCACCTGGAATCGCTTCGCGGTAAAACAACACGCATGGCTACAGCTACAAAAAATACATGGAGGAATTCCAAAATTTAGGGCATGCTCAATTTGAAGATCGGTGCTGGTTTCTTGACATGTTGGCCAGAAACTGGAGGCTTTTAGCGGGCAATCCGAACATCAGGATGACCGTTGCAGCACCACAATCGTCACCGTTGCAGCACCACACTGGCAAGGTCATTCTCATTTGTGCTCTTCATCAGTCAGCATTGCAAACGTAAGTAATCATCTGAATCTAACCCCTACCATGAGCATCAACTGACAGCGAAGAGTCAGCATTGAGGTGCTGAAACCGACCCCAACCGCTGGTCATCGAAGTGGATGGCAAGGGGCCTGACCAAAATTCTGAACAACCACTGTTTCCACCGCGAATCCTGTCACTTTGGTTTCTTTTGGAACCAGCCATGCCCTCGGTCGGGGTTCTCTCGATTTGACATCACACAAACCGAACCCGACCGCACTCCACACCTCCTCCAGCTGCACCGTGTAGGACTGCCGCAAGGTCTTCCTTGGTGCGCATTTACGTGTTTTCGCGCACGAGAACGGCGGTTTACAGCGGCTTAACTCATCTACATATACTCTAGAAGTCCAGTTTGACTATATACATACTTTTCCTTCGTGATGTAAAGGAAATTCCCTTTCAAGTACCCTAAGGACCATTTTTTATAGTCTTTGACTCCCAGGGTATTGTATACATATATCTAAAGGACCAAGACTGTTGATGAGCTTTAAAAAGCGAGGGATATCTAACAAAAAGAACGAGCCTGTAGATGTAGAACCATTCTGGTGGTGGGGGTATTATGTTTTTCACCAGTCAACATCGATTTCATCAGGAAATCAACCATGGCATCCGTGGCCTCTCTCTGCGTCCTCTGGAAGAGGTGCTATGAAAAAACATCGCTTGTTGAGGTGATGTCCACTTAAGAGGGTCGTGGGTGTCGACCATTTGGCTGTGGGTCAAAACCAGGGGCTTGGTTTTTCCCACCAAAAATAAACATAATAGACTACCAGGATGAAAAATGGGCTTTAGGTTTTGACGAACAGCCATTTCAGTGAGGTATTTTCAGGCCCAGCTCGCGAAGAGAGCACTGTGATGTTCGCATGTTCAGTACCTAGAGATGTGAACATCTGGGTGACCAGTGAACATCTGGGTGCCCTGGGACTGGGGGGCACCACAGCCTTTACATGACTTCCAAATCAGGTATCAAACACAAGAAGAAAACATGCTCGAGACATGCGAAATATATTTGTATATGTATTGGGCCTAGCGGATGTCCTTCCAAATTCCTATATCAAAAGCTGAACCCGCAAGAACACAGGACTGAAACCGCACCAAAGAACACTGCATACAATTCCCAGCCCCCACTTACTGTGACCATTTCTCCATCCACTTATATATCTCCACTTCTCTCCACCGGGCGCTGACACTCCTGGGAATTCAGCCTCCCACCGGGCACCGAACGGAGATGACCGGCGCGGCCCACGGCCCAGCCAAGCGTCAAAACGTGCTCTCGGTCGGCGATCTCCTGCTGCACCGAGCCGGCGCCTAAAGCATCCACCTGGCGCGCGGCGCCGTCCGAGCGCGAGGCGTCGTGTGGTTCGTGGTTTTCCCGAACCGGACACAGAGACCACAACACCCGGAGAAAAAAGAGACACAGGGACGAGGCCGGAAACTGTGGCCAGTCTCTTTTTCGCAGAGAACCCCAACAGAGAACCCCAACTGTTTGGAGAAAAAACAGTATGTTTTTTGCCCACCGGTGCCAACACGGAGACGAAAGTTTGAAGTCAATAGTCTGAAGACAAAGACGAAAGGCACGTTCGCGTCGACGGGGGACACGAAGGAAAGCCCAGAACCGTCGGAATGATCCGAACGCTTGAATCGTTGAGCATCCAGGCGCGGACCTTTGGGTCAAATAGACGAAGGACTGGAGATAGAGAAAAGCATCATGCATCGATTTGGGATTTGTTTTCAGGCATCAATGTGGGCTGCCTTTTTCATCGTTTTCCTTCTCTTGACTCAGCTTCTTGCATCGTATCGTGCAGTGTGAACTTCGTTCGTGAACACCGTGCCGTGGGAATGAGCCTCGCCTCCACTCCGCGGGCCGCTAGGAGGGCCTTCAGCCGACGCACCTCCGCCTGAGAGCAGGAGGATGTGACACATGTCTACCAGGCAGAGGCTCCAATTGATGCAGTTTCACGGCATCTCCAGCAGTGGTGATGAGGAAGAAGGTTCAGTTCTGTCCTTTTGGGAAGACTTCTGAAGAATAGTGGGGTAAGTTTGGTACCAGATAATATATACCTATTGGTTGTCCACTTGGGGGTCACATCTCTATTAATCGACCAACCAAGGGCATAAAAGGCCACCTATGAGAAGGTTGACAGCTTGACAAGTCACCACCACCCGAAACTGGAGGTACCACCGTACCACCCGTTGTGCTGCTCTCGGTTTGAGCAAACAGCTTAGGTTGGGTGGTTCCAAGGAGACTAAGACTAAGCCATGTCAGCCACTTGATGTTTCATTATGGGGCGGCGTCACGTGAGGTAGAAGCACTGGCGAACAGTGGTATAGCTCATCCCGTACCCAAACCATCCATGGGACTGGGCATATATACTTGCATTCAACCCTTTTCAACCACCCCCCCCGTATGTACAGGCTGTTCATCCTCCGGCGCGGCGCAGGAAAACACGCGAGCGGAAGAAACCCGTCGACTCCGACAACGTAGGCGCCTGCAGATGCTGTACCACACCCATTCGTTGGTCCACGTTCACGGAGGCGCTGGTCTTCACCTCGGCGACGTTCGCCCCGTTCGCCCCCGACGTTCGCGGCCTCCAGAACATGGGAAGCACCTCTTCAATGTCCTTCTTCCAGAGGGTCGGAACGCCTGGGAGGTCTCCGTATTTTAAGATACACTCATATGTACATATATTGTGGATTGCCCACACTGGTAGCCCTTCGACCTTCAGCTGGTGCCCACAGCACCTCCAAGGCGGCCTTTTCCTCCGCCACTGCCTGAACGAAATTGGCGTCCTCGCCAAGCAACCGAGCGTGTCCTCACGCTATGGCTCAACGGCCTCTCCAAGGGGCCCTGACCCTCACCACCCAACGGACTCGTGCCCGAAAAGGCTTCGGAAAGGAAAGTGCGATGGCCGAGCTCTCGACATGCTGAATGGTTCACAACTGAAAATTCACACTCCCAAAAAATCTTCAAAACTTTTTGTGGGCTTCATATCGGCTGGGCATCCGGATGACAACCACTGCACTCTCGTTCGATGATCTGCTCTTTGCTTCAATACTTGCAGCTCGTCATTAAGTTGATAACGACCCTGTTGCAAGGTGTATCTCAAGAAGTGGTTTTGCATTACCTTGGTTAGTGAGTCTGCAAGCTGAGCCCCTGTGTGTACCCACCTCAAAGTCACCCCCTCTGAGAGAAGATCTTTGATCGCCCTGGCCTGCAGTTGTGTCCTAAACTCCTGACAGTTCGGTTGGGCGGTTCGAGTCACAAGATCATAGAGGGATTTACAGTCTGTGACTGCCACTGCCTTCGGGAGCATTTGTGCTAAGTGTGTGGTTGAAGACACTGGTGGTGGAATATTTTGGAACACCTTTTGGGGCTGTCGCCAGTTTGTCTTGGGATCTAGAAGCCAGGTCCAGTATAATCTTAACCATGATAATTGGTCCAAGCTCGTTTGTAGTGATGTGGTCTCAGCTGATAGGGTGCTTGTCACCACTTTCTGGATTTTCTTACACCCCCAAGACAAAGGACTGACTGGGCACTGATAGTTTTCCATGATGTCTTTATGAGTTGCCAAGATTATCATTCCTGTATGGCTTTCCGGGCTCTTGGCTGATGCAAAGGATGCATCTGAGAACATCAAAAACCTCAGGTCTTTGATGGGAATTGGCTGGATTCGAATATGGGTGTCTTTGTACCGTTTGGCTTCATGAAGGACCCGATTTGCGTCGTGCAGAGTTTGTACTGTTGCCTTATTTATCTCACTCTGTAAGTAGCTTAACCTACTTGACAAATCAGGTCTGGTGTTTATTGCTGCGTATTGAAGGCTTCCTATCAATGCTCGAAGACCGTGTTTCTCTTCGGAAGTCACTGGCTCCGTCAGGCATGTTCGCCTGTTTGCACTCATATGGATTGGTTCAATCTTGCTGATGTATTTTCCTTGGGACATGACGATGCTTTTATCTGGGTTTTGGTCGATATCTACGCCAGTAAATGTAAATTGACCTGTCTTCTTGCTCCCGAATGGAAACTTGGCTTCCAACTTAGCAATTTGCTGGTCAAAGAACTGGTCGCCACCGCACAGGCCATCATCGACATGGACACCTAGAATCCCTGATGGAAGCTGTTGATCTTTCTGATACAAGATGTATGCACATGGGTCGAAAGGTGCTGGGACAAAGTTCAGTTCTCTCAAGGTCCGGTCCAACTCCTTATACCACAAAAATGGGGCATCTATCAACCCGTAGGCTGATTTTTCGAGTTTGCATACTTGATTCTCTTTCAGGTTCAATGCTGTTTTGAGTTCCGGAACCGGCTCGATGGCTAGGGTTCGACCTTCTTGCGTTTTGCCTTGCAAGAAGGCAGCACGGATGTCGAAGCTTCTCAGTGTCCATCCCATTGAACTTACTAATTGGAGTAGAAGCATCTTGGATTGTTTTCCCAAAGTAGGGCTGTCTCTCGGGATCGTCTCTAATTGGGGGTCTTGATAACCAAGAACTACTAGGCGAGCCTTCGGTTTGTGCGTCTTTTGGTTGGGTTTTTGATTCACTTCGGTCGTCTGAGCGTTTTCTTCATCGAGTGGTTTCCATATGCAAATCCATCGACATCGCAAGATTTGCTGCGGGCTCAACTGATGTCTGAAGATGCGACTGACCGTGCCTGTATCAAGCCAATTCTGGATTTCCTTGTTTTTCGCTTGCCTAAAAAGCTCTTGTTCTTCCTGAGACAGTTGATGGAGCTTTACCTCAGTTCGGTCACGTTTGGCACTCGTTGCTACTAGGAGGTATTCGGACGGATGTTCTGATTCTTTCCATGCTTTGATGTCCTGCTCAGTTACAGCGGCTTCATACTTCCAACCGACATGACCGTCAGGGTCTGTTGAGTTCTCGTCGTGACCTTCAACACATAGCAGGTGGTCACACACAAGCTCATCACCTGAGTCCGTCGGTATTGGCACGTTTGCCGGATCTATCTCGGCCGCTTGTTCAGAGGCATCATCAGGTGACCCTGAGGCTGGTCCCTCACTTGGCTCTTGATCTGGTTGTTCTTCCGGAGTGGATGACGGAGGTCGAACAATGCTTCCCTGAGACTGTCCTGATTCCTGGGTGTTATTGGGGACTTCGGGTACTTCTATGGTCTCTATAATGGTTTGTCTTCTCGTACCCCTTGTTGGTTCTTGTTCTAATTCAAGATCTTGGATTGGGTGTAGATTCTGTGGGATTTGTTCTTTCTCTTGTTCACTGATCTCACGAATGTGCTCTGGGGATATCTTGATGAGGTTTCCCATATGGTTACACCAGACACAGTGTTGACCTTCTTGTTGGATCACTCGTGCAGGTCCAAACCATCCCTGTGTTGTTGGCGTTTGGCGCCACATCATGACCCAAGTTCCAGGGTGGTACATGCCTCTATCTGGCCTCGTTCTTCGCAGGATTGCTCTCCGCAATGACATGTCATTGTCTGTCATGTGAAAAGCTTTGCGGGCAGCTTCACGTCTGGCCAGCTTGTTTCGGAACAGAATTCCCTCTTGAGTCTCTTCGTCGGCAAGCAAATGGGATGGGAGGTTGTAGTCAGATGTTACTGAGGCTGGAACTCGCACTGTTTTCCCAAAAGTCAGGATGTCTGGTGAATACCCCTGCTTAAGGCTTAAAGCATTCTTTGCTGAAGTACAGTGGGCTAAAGCTGTTTGCAGGTCCTGATATGATTTGATCGGAAAGTCGTGCTCATACTTACGAAGCATGGTCTGCAGGATTTCTCCGTGTCGTTCAACCTTGCCAATCTGCCAGTGTGCTCCAGGTGCTGCGACGACTGCTTTGATGTTGAATTGGGTCAACATGTTGGCAAACTCTCGAGAGGTGAACTCTGTGCCGGCATCGGTATGGAGCTCCAATGGGGCGCCAGCCCACTGGAACCAACCAGTCACCACCTTTTCGATGGCGTCCTGACTGCTCTGACCTGGTGATGAACATGCCACATGATAATTAGTTCCATAGTCAATCATGTGATAGAAATGATATGGGGTCCCGCTGGCAGCTGTGTATTTGATACCGTCAATTCCTACCTTGTCATTGAAGTCAAGATCGTCCTTGATGGTTGCCGGTCTTTGAATTTTGGGCCTTTGTTCATTTTGACATGTCGAACACTTCATATCGAGGATCCCTTGACTTAAGGATGGCTCGTGACCCTGTTCTCGGAGTACCTGACTTAGTCGTGCATGACTTGGGTGTCCTAAATTTTGATGGAGCTTTATCAGGAAAGTCTTTTCTTCTGGGGACAAACACATGAATCGGCTCCCATGGGTTGCACTCTGTAGGTCTATCTTCTGGCTTGGTGTGTTGGCTGACACTCTGGATGGGGTTGGTCCTGACGTCTTGTCTTCGACTTCATGTTGAGGCTTTGGCAGGTCCTCACCGGTCACTGTGTGCTCGGCTCTTGTGGACTCAGTCTGGTCTCCTTCTTTGCCGGGCTCCCTATTGCTGGCAAACAAGGTTATATTGATCCTGGCGGGATGAGACGGTCTGACCACTTGACGATTGGACAGCTCTTGCCAAAATTCCCAGTCGGTCTCAACACGAACGGATTCATCGGTACGGCTGACAATTGCTGCGATGCGATATGGTGCTTCGTTCTTCACAATGTCTTTGGGTGGGGCTAATGTTCGATCCGACCCCTTGCACACCATGATTCTACGGATGATCTTCTCTGGGAATATCTTCTGAAATTGATTTATCAAGTCTGGGTCTTTGATTTCTGTTTTGCCTACTCTTGGAATTCGGGGTTTGATCACTGTGATGAGTCGTTCCAATTCTGTTTGTCGGGACTGTGCAAGCTCTCCTTCGGTGGTCTTTCCGTCAATGCGGCGTCTCTTTAGATGGCCGCTGAGCACTTCCAACGGTGTTGGTGGCATTCGACTCTTCGGATTGCTCGACGATGGAGAATTGATGCGAAGTCTCTTGCATGGTGCATCGGACCGATCAGGTCGACTGTCATCATGACTGACCAAAACTGGAACACACATGTGTTGTTTGATCTTGATGAGGTTCTTAGCTACGTATCTCGAGAACTTGCGTGTGTATCGTTCTGTGTATGCACTACATGACATGCGATCACCTTTGACATGGACAGTCCCTGCAATGGCTCGGTGCTCATGGTCGCGTCGACATGTGCGACCGTGGAGGGCGAGGAACATCTCGGCTGATGTTGTCCGGACTGCCATGCTCTTCTGGATGTGACGACTTGTTTCTGGGCACTTGAGGGCTCCCACATTACACATGTCAAAATGTGCTTCTTTAGTGGTTCTGAACAACTCCTTTACCAGTGGTGTCTTGAACATCAAGGATTTTCGGGGTTGTTCCCAGTGCATATGGTTCCCTTGGCTTCGGGTGATCCTTAGGAGTACAATTCCCAGAGCAAGTTCAAACAGATGTTGTTCTCTATCCCTTTGAATCTGGTCAAACATCTCCATGGATCTCTTTTCGTTGAACTGATTCCAGGCACACCACGGGCTGCATGTGGGGCTATACCACACATTTCGAGGTCTTTGTCGAAACATGATTTCAAACAAGGTTTCTCTCCCTTCGGGGGTTTTGAGATCTCCCTGATCAAGGCCCATTCGAATGGCTCTACCCCCAAGGTCGTTGACTTGTTTGGTCAACTCGCTGTTGGCATGGCAGAATACCTCAATCAGGTGAACATGCTTGGCATCGGACTTGTTCTGGCATCGCTGCTGCACAGCGTTGGCTTCCTTCGAAAACTGTTGAAGCAATCTATCGAACTTCCCATGCAGGTTTGCTTGATTTTCTCCTATGTTGTTGAGGCATGGTTCAGTGTTCAGATACTCACCCCATTCCCTAGTTTCGAAGTTGTCTAGCCACTCTGTGCTGAGGAACGCAAATGGCCGATCACTTCCTGGAGAGCCGTCTCCAGGTACATCATGCGATCCTGCAGGGCGGCCACATCCGCATAGACTGGATGAGTTTCCTCCAGCTCCACGGGTTCCCAGCTCTCTTCGGCATTGAGGTCGGCAAGGTCCTGAGCTGTCACTGGCATTTGCGCTGGTGCAGGCTTCGGCTTTGGATATGCCTTGCTCTTCGGAGCTGACATGGGAGTCACTTGATGGCTCGGCGCTGTCTCCTCGAAGTGTTCCACCTGTCGAGTCACATAGTGGAGGAAGCGCTGATGCTCTGACTTCGTGGAGGCATGGTACGTGGCTTGGAACCACTTCACGTACCCTGGCTCCTTCTCCCAAATGTCGGCATAGCTTCGGCCACAGTGGGTCTTTCCGAACGTGATCAGATAGGTCCCTTGCTGTTCCAGCGTCAACTCCCGAAATGCTGCCATCGAGATCTCCTCGGACCGAGTCTGAGATGCCCCCAGTGCCCTGGTCAACCGGGCCTGGAGATCGGTGGCACTCTGACTCGACATGGGTCTGAGGAAGCGTATGCCGAGGATGAGGATTGCACGGATCTGAGCGCTGAGACTTCGGCATTCGCAGATGGCTGAACTGACCTCTTCCGGTGTGGTCTGCATGTTCACACGATTCGGCGAACGGTCGATCGAACTTGGCTATTAGCTGTTTGACTTGCCCCGTGGAACCTGATACCTGGACGCCTGATGATTTCTGAGATTTGTCCTGACTTGATGTCGGATGGCTGACACACGTTTCGATCTGTTTTAGCTCGGACACGTGAAAAGTGTCTGCAGGCTTCATACTGGCTGTGCAGGGCTTCGCTAGCTCGTTGAGGTCCAAAACATACAAACCTTTGGTGTTGATGTTGATGGGTATGGATCTCTCTAGCATCGTGCTGTGTAGCATGCCCTGTCGTGTGTCTATGGTGGCCCCAATGGCCCTGAACAAGGTGTTCGACAGCAAGAACGGTGTTTGACCCGGTACAATTGCAACCTTTAATCTCAATGATCCTATGGGGACCACTAGTGCATGCGTGCTCTCAAGTGTTCCATGGTTGCCAAAACGAAACATGACTTTGCATGGGCACCTGGTCACTTGCTGTCGTACCTCAGGCGATAGACTCTGGATCAGTGAGGCCACGAGTCGGCTTCCAATGACCGTCTTGGTGGCACCTGTGTCAATGATCCCTAACGAATTGTATGTCGCAAAATGCGATCCGGCTGGTTCAGGCGGCATGGTCGAAAGGCACGTGCTGGCAACACTCTCAGCACAGTGGGCGGCATTCTTTCTACTCCTGAATTCGTGATGTGCGTGCATGCATGACATGCCAGGTTTCTCAATGGCTTCCCTATTCCTCTCAATGAGTTCCCCTTCATTGATGGCATTGGGCCCAGCGTGTTTCCCCAAAACCCCAAAACAAAATGCAAAACTTGACAAAGTCAGTGAAGAGTCCCGTGAGGATTCAATGGGCTCCTCAGGCAAGCTCATGAACTCTAAGGGCAAAGCATCGACTCCGTCTTCCAGAGTCACCAGCGTGGGTGCGGTTGCCAATGTGGTTTGGCCAGTTTCGCTGGAACGTCCTCTCTCAGGACACTCGGCTTTCCAATGACCTTTGCGGCCACATATCCGGCAGGTGCTCTCAAGGATCCTTTGTTGCAATGTCTTTCGATTGCCGGAATTGCGGAAGCCACCAAAGCCCTTCTTTCCTTTTTCACCTCCTTTCCCTCGGGCCTTGCCCTTTGGCGGACCCGATGACCAGAACCCACGGTTCTTGAATCGATCTGACAGACGCTTTCTGGCCTCGGCATAGGTCGTGTGGGACAATGCGAGATCTGCGTCTTCTTGAATGGTGTCCAGCATGGATTGCTCATAGTCCAAAATCAATGCAGCGTCCTCGTCGCCGTCATTGGCCAACTGTTCAATCCACTCTTCCTCATTCCAATCATCGGCATGAAACGCCGAGTCTTCGGAGGGCAGCTCTGTGGATCCTGCATCGTGGCTCACGAATGCATTGGCCTCGTAGGTCTTGGACCGAGCACTTGAAGCCTTCCCTGCATGGACTTCCTGGAAAAACTTGCTTCCCAGCAGCTTGAGGTTGGTGACAACGGTCTTGTAATCTAAGGATCCAGCAGATTCGACAATCAACCTTTTCTTGTCTTCAGCACTCAAAGCCGAGTTCCGCAAGAGGATGTATGCACGGAACTCATCCATGGCAACCTTCATGCTGAGGAGCTCCTCGAATTGATGGTCGTGTCTTGCCAGGTAGCTTTCGTTGGTCTCATCCGACCGTTGAACTGTGCTGTAGATGGCACGCTCAAAACGCTCAAATTTGGATTCCAGGTTGGATTTCCCCCAGATTCCTCCCAACTGCTCAACCACTGCCTTGACCCCGTCCACGGAGTTGACCCGCAGCACCTTTGGGTCCAGTCGTGAGATACGCTGGAACGCGGATCCCTCACACTGAAGTGCAATCCGGGGTGCCAGGTGTTGCAGATGTTCTGGAGGCCAGAGTTGTGCCAAAAACTCAACCTTCATTGTCCATTCTGTCAGATCTGTTTCTCCAGGTCGGAAATGAGGCACCTGATTCCATGGGAGGTGACTCAGGCCACCACTGCCTGACGTCGAGCCGGATGGCTCCGTCTCTGGCATGTTTGCCTCCCTGGAACCGCTCACCTTTCTTCACCACGGCGTTGGCCAAAACAAAATTGAGCAATGTAAGCAGTGTCTCAACGTTCCCCAACGATCAACCAATGCTCAAATCAACTCAACTCAACCAAGCAAAACAATGTATTGTAGCCTCGTGTCAACAATGCACTGCTGTTGCCAATCACAATGTACGACACAACGTTCGACCAATGAGATCAATGCAACAACCAACGTCCCGCCCCGGGATTTGCCAACACTTCAAGTTCCAACACACGCTTGCTCTCAAGGCCAACGATCAGGAGCTTTGGAGCGGAGCTCCGCTACCAATGTGGATTGCCCACACTGGTAGCCCTTCGACCTTCAGCTGGTGCCCACAGCACCTCCAAGGCGGCCTTTTCCTCCGCCACTGCCTGAACGAAATTGGCGTCCTCGCCAAGCAACCGAGCGTGTCCTCACGCTATGGCTCAACGGCCTCTCCAAGGGGCCCTGACCCTCACCACCCAACGGACTCGTGCCCGAAAAGGCTTCGGAAAGGAAAGTGCGATGGCCGAGCTCTCGACATGCTGAATGGTTCACAACTGAAAATTCACAATATATATATATATATATATTTCTGGTGGTTGAACAATTGGCTTTCAGGTCGGTGAAGATGCCCATGGATGGTCTGGGATGCATTCTTCGAGACATGATTGGACGTTGATCGTACAAAAACACGAGTCAATGAGGTTTTCAGGACCAGATTTGGACCTGGGTCAGGTGATGAAGGGCGCCCTGTTTCTTCCAGTCTTCGTGCAGAGGAGGCGCTTCCAACAAACAAACTATATGCATATGTGTATGTATAATATACCAAACTGTTGAGTTCCTAGAGAAGGCAACTCTTGAGTTCCAGCGCGTTTGACACATTTGCTCGGACCGTTTTACCTCACCACCAGACCGAACCCAGCGCTTCGGTGCGTTCCATTGGAACTGAGCAACAATTCGCTACTGACCCGATGCCCCCGCAGCTGGTGCAAATGTTGGCATCAATCCTCTACCGTCACTTGTTTGCCTGGGAGTGTGGGCTCCCCTTCTAGATCTGCAGTGGCTTTCTGCATCAAATGCTCTCATCTCTGCAGCCACACGGCCTTCTTCACCGAGGATGCAAAGCGCAAGGTGCCTCATCTCTGTTCGCTGCCGGTCCGAAATGCTGACAGAGTGGACCGACAGCGTGGACCGACAGCGTTTGAGAATGAGTTTAACCCCACCCAGTAGTGACTCAGTAGTGACTCAGCATCCCGGTCCTTATGCAAATCCACAAAAGTTTTTCATGGAGGCAAGAGTATTCGCATTCCTGGCCATGCCCAAAAGGATACCAGGCCATTCCTTTTGAACGCCCAACTTTCAACAATACCCCAATTCTCCTCTTATCCTGAACCCTCCGCAAGCTCTTTTTGACGAACACCGGAGGAAAAAAACCCAGGCGCGACGCCGAAACGCCGAACACCGCGGACCCGACCGGTGGACGTCGGTGGACGACGTTCGTCACCGAGGATCTGATGGTCTCATCGACGTTGCACGCAGCGGGGGAGACGGCCGCCACCTGCGTCGCTCAGTGGAGACGTGTTCTTCGGACGTGCGTCGCGGGACGGGGGACGGGCTGCCTTTCGTCGTTCGGACGTGCGTCCTTCGGGTCAGACACAAGAATACGCGTGCGTATGTATATACGTTTGCACGGGAGTCCATCGAGTAGTCCGTCCACTCAAACTAAAAAGTGTAGATGGAGCGAAACACCAGGTTCCCCAAACCGAAAGCGACGCACGAACTCCAACAAATGCCATCAGTACACGGCACTCTCCGCCCAAAACGTCTGTGATGTCTAGAGTCCACACCACCCCCGAAGAAAAACCTCCTCCTTCCCTCCGTCCCTCCGTCCCTCGTGGCCCAAGGCGCCATGCGGCTCCGCGAGTTCCCCGCCAGGGAGTCCCGCAGCAGAAAGGTCAGCTTCGAGGAGCGAAAAGGCACCACCTCCTCGACGCTTGTCGCGCGCCGCGGTGCCCGGTGTGCCATGGCAGGCACGCGTGTGGGTTGGGGTTTCGGACGACGGCTTCCGGTGACGGGGAGGTTGGGCGGCGCTCGGAAGGTCGTGAGCGGCGGTGTTTCGTGGTGCCTGGGACACGTGTCGAACTCAGAAGTTCGGTGCGTTCGATTGGGATTGGTGGACTGAGGGAGACACAACAGGTGCAAGAGTTCCATGGCATTGAAGGCCTCCACTCCGAAGCGATGCGAGGGAGTTCAAAGGATCACAGAACTTGCTATTAGTAGCGATGCACTTGTTATTAATAGCTTCTTGCTACTAGTAGTAATGCCAGTAGCTACTAGTAGCTTCTTGCTCCTAGTAGCGATGCACTTGTTACTATAGTATGTTTTTTTAGAGTCTGCGATGCCTTCGGGCTCGTGTGAACACGGAGTCTGCGTGTCCGTTTCTGCCGTCGGCGTCGGGGTCAGTGAAGCTCAGCTTTGCCCAAACGGATCAAACAGGTTTCAGAGGGTGTCAACCCCCTGTTTGAAGCCATGAGCAGAAACGGTATCCTTTTAAACACTGTTTGTCTCTTCTCTTCCTTCTCCACACTGCCCAGGCTGGACTACCGTGGCTGGACCTATATAATATAATATAATATAATATATAATATAGTATATAGTAGTATAATATAATATATATATATATACCCTTGTCACACTATCCATACATGCGGATCTCCAGCCAGGACACCCAGTACCGCGAGCCCGGTCTGGAGACTCAGAGGGACACGTCGACCGGCCACGAGGGACACCGACCGCCCGCTGCATTGACCTGGTGTCGGGATACCTACTCCCTACTCCTACTGCTACATGGTGGGACCGGTCGGACCCCGAACGAGTGCCATGACCGACCTGACCTCATCCCTAGGAAGGACAGTAGCTCCTGGCGTTACTACTAGGAGCAAGGACGCTACTAGTAACAAAGTGCGACCGCTTCTTCAAGGAAAAAATCCCCGATCTCCTTGCCCTCCATGGGTGTCTGCGTGGCCGTCATCGGCAGGGCACCACTGAAGCTCCGAGTGCGCTGCCTTTTCACGTTTGGAGGGTCGGCGTTTGGAGGGTCGGCATGCGGGGGGTCGGTGCGTCTCTGGCTGGTGAGGTTACCACAACGTGCCAGGTATCCCCTTTTTGACCGACCAAGGTCGTACCTAGGCCGCTCTTGCTGGCAAAAACGAGCGGTGCGGCAATGCCTAGAAAAGAACCGTCTGAGTCGGAAAAGAACATCCTCTTTCTCGAGCACTGTCTGAGTCTTCCGATGTCATGTGCATCGGAGTTGGCTGTTTTTTCACTCACCGGTTCATGGCATACATGACTTCCTTCGCCGGAGGAATTGGGGTGTGGAGCCTTCACGTCGTCCCCTGGTCCACCTGGTCCACTGCAGCCTTCACCAGGCACAGACCTCTGACCGGACCAGAAGTAGACCACCGAGCCACCGTGCCTTTGGGGGATCAGTGGACCACCATCATCGCACTACCAGCGAGCGACTGACACTTGGCACGACTGGGGTGACTGGGGTTTTCAGGTTGGTCGGTTGGTCAGATGCCTAGAAAATGGACTCCTCAAATCAATGGACTAGGTAAATATAGGTAAATGGGCCAGTCCCATGGATTGTCTGGGAAGTGGCTTCATTGTCACAGCATCTCCATCCCTCCGCCGCACAGGCCTGATCTGGCTGCGTGCTTGCTGCTCTCCCAGCTCTTTGATGACCTCGTCACAGTGGCGTCAATTCCAATATGTTTCTGTTTGGCATTGCTGAATGGCTTTTCATGTGGTTCTTCCACCTCTTGAACACCTTCCAACAGCCACAAAAGAATGGGGTTGAAAAAAGAACACTTCCACCAACTCAAGGCGGCTACCTGGGTTCTGATGGTTCTTCGCGGCCCACGCGGCCTTTTTTGGTTGGAGAAGAACCTTCAGGGATCCACCCACTGTGTTCACTCTTTTATGAAATCCAGAAAGAATCAGAAATGGTACCATTTGGAACGGAATGGGTCATGGGTCGAGAACCATGCAGCCCTTCCTTACACAAACTCTAACGAATGAACATCTACAGTAAGTTGAACCATTTGCTGAACCACTTCTCATCACCACATCCGATTCTCGATGGCGCTCGGAGGCTCAGAACGGCTCAGAAAGCGTGGCTGGGAAAGAGGGGCACATCCGGTACACCTGGGAAAAGACCCACATGTAGAAGGCATGTAGAAGCGGAAGCTTCTGCTCTTTTCCGCGAAAGCAGTGGTGAACTCAGGTTGGTGGGTCTCTTCCACCAAACCGTAGAGCTCCAGTTTCCTCATTCGTGCAGTTCTGTCTTCCTGAAAGGGCACACTTTGAGTGTTGAAGAAATTTGGATGAATCTTAGGAGGGGCCGCACCGTCAAGGGCGAGAAAAACCACATCTTCGATCAATCAATCAATCTGACGAGGACTCGTGAGTTTCGCTACTCTCCGCCGCATCAATAGGTTCTCAATCACACGAGAAGTGATACCCTGCAATTGCTCTCGCATGCCATTGTCATCCCATCTGCCAATTTTCCCCATCTCCCAAAATCCTTTCCATCAACCAAGTCGCCAGGGCCAAGGCAGAAAGGGATTGATTGATTGCACATCCTCTCACTTCGAACGGCGCCACCAAACATCCTCTTTCTCCGAACGTGTTCGTCCATCGTTCTCCGTCCGTCTTCGTCCATGGTGACGGGGTGGGGCGGCGAAAAATCTGGGAGAGCAGGGGTGGATTTGATCGATCAAGAGGTGGCGAATGATGCGAATGGACAAATCTTTGGGAGGCTTTCCTCAAGGCCAAGTAGCTGGTGTTCGTGTGGCCAACCAGTCGAAACGATCTATCCAGCATTTGGTAGTAGTAGCCCTTCATAGACCAAAGCTGATACATGAAGCGTTTCAGTGCCCCTAGGCCCTCTTCAGCGTTCCTGGTAGCTTCCACATATTTCTTTGGGCCATCCTAGGAGTCGGTTTCCAACCACATCGGTCGATCACATCAACCATCAACGTCACTGTCTACAACCCGTCTGCCGAGTCCATATCCCAGGTCGAGTCCATCACCGCCATGTCAAGAGAAGGTTGGTCACCAAAACCAACAAGATCATAGTGGTTTTTCCACACAACGTCCACATCCCATCACTGCTTTCATTCATCTGAGTCGGTTCACTCCCACCCACTGCCACGGAGTGACCTCGCCTTCTTTGAAGGTGGCTCCGTGGATAAAGGCCGCTTTGTGCCGCTCCGAGCCTACAGCGGTCCAGGCACCGTGGACTCAACCTGGTGAAACAACTGGAACTTGCGATTTTTTATGGAAGAAACCATAAGAAACCATAAGAAAGAAACCATAAGAAACCAACCCCTTTATATATCTTTATATAAGTCTTGAACCTGGAGCTTCCTGTTTCTCCAAAGGCCTAGTGGTTCTTCAGTTCGATCTTGAAAAAATACTCCCCCCAAAACCCACACGCCGCCCCCTTCCCCAAAGCAGATTCGACCGACCGACCAGCGCCTGCCAAATCAACTAGGTTCATCCTTGCATTGGTCGAGTCCACCCGGCCCTCGCCCGCCACCCGCTGCACCTGGCGCAGAGAAAACCGGTGATGTGGGGATAGGTCAAACCAGCCCGGTAGGTTGACCTGCCCAGTCGTCCAATCCGTTCATGTTCGATGAACCAAGGTGTCCCAAAACCGGTGCAACGAGGTCGTTCATGTCAAGTCACATGAAAGCCGGAGAAAAAACTGAAAAATGAGATCTGAGGTGTCTAAAATGATTGGAATTCCTGCAAAACACCCTATATACAGTCGAGGTATACAACTCGAACCTTGCCTCTTGATGTGGGGGTCTCAATAAACCAATCCCATCAAATCCTCAACCCGTCATCCCTTAGCCTTGAAGTTCCAAAGAAGTTTCACAGAGAGTCCGAGATGACATGTGTGACACGTTCTTTTTCGACCAAAACCCGGTCACGAAATCCCCAGGCAATCGGATCGAAAACCAGCCCAACGGTTGCACCGAAACAGCTGAAACCCAGCACCCCTTCGCCGCTTCGCGAAGCGAGGTCTCGAGCTCTCGCCTTGATGATGAAAACGGCATGGCTTCGGGAGGAGGTGTTGTTCATGATCGTGGCCGAGGTCACCTCACACGGGTCAGGGACCGGACTCCACACCCCGGTCAGCGTGACCGGAGTCGGGACCCGGTTCCGGGTTGCAACAGTTCCACCCGGTCAACGAGGTGAAAATCCCGATGGGTTCAGGAAGAACCCGGGCGAGTTCGCCGCACCATTGGTGCTCGGAATCGCAGCTGCAAATGCAGCTGGAATTTCTTGTTTGCACCTTCCCAAGGTTCAAATCTGCAGTGTCCAGGTTTGTGCTTAAAGAAAGCAACAAGTTCCAAGAATAAATGGGTGCTACAATGTTGATACGTCCATTCCATTTTTTTGGCATGTCCCGTATTCCCTATTTTTTCTATGGGCTTTGCACATGTTTTGTCACTTCCATCTGCCATCTGCACATCCTTCTGTTGACCCGCTGGCCCAGTTCCAATGTCCACTTCATGGAACCAAACAAGGCGCCTCTTACAACGCTGCAAGACCCCCAGGCGTCTTGGTGAACAAACCCTTTGGTTCAGAGGTGCAACCCCGCCAGGCACTTTGGCCAAAGGAGGCGCTTTAGCTGCGCACGGTACGACTAGGGATGTCATGACCGAAATTGGCTTCCTTCGCTTTCGAACGTCCTTTTGAAAGAAACGTGACAAGCTCTGCGACGACCGGCCCGGCGAAAATGGCGACTGTGGCACCCTCTTCTTGAGGCCAAACTTGATGAGCTTCTTGACCTGACCGATGTCGGCCAGGCGGTCGAAACACACGCCCATGACGCATGCAAAGAAAATGACCATCTTCTTTCTTGGCCTCGCAAAGCCACGAGAGGACCCATGGAATCGCAAAGTTTTACTGGATCTGCTGTGACAGAGGAAAATCCAGAAGCGTTTGGGCTTATGAATGTTGCATCCATCCATTCTCCCAGCCAGGGGCCAGTGTTTTTGCGCCACACCCAATAAAAACCCCGCAGATTCAAAGGGCGATAACTTATTGCCTCCACTTACAGTGTATATAATAATGTGTGAAGGCCTGGTAAAGAGAAAACACCCAATTCTTGCAACGATGTGTGTCCAAAGAAGGAGAACTGCAGAGGCTTCTTCCCTGCATCCTATCATATCCCTACATGGAAAATTGGAAAAAAAAGAAGCCGAACCAAAAAACGGCTCGTCATACGGTGGGACCCCTTCCACTTAACGGCTTCAGATCCGGCGGAAAGGCCTCTAGGACGGTCTGGCACGCAGCCTCCACCAGGCCGGGGATGATGACGCCCAGCGCTGGATGGTCCATGATCCTGGAGGGGCCGCGCTGGATGGTCTACTTGCGCGGTAACTTGAGATCTCGAAAGTGATGAGTGAAAACCCCTTCAAGCTATATGGTGGGCCGGGTGATTGGTCCGGTGTGTGCTCTACACACTTGGCCGCAGGGGAGGGGCCTTCAGTCCACAGCATCCGAGAGGAACTGGGATTTGCTCCCAGGAAGCCGGGAAAAACAAGAATGATCACCTTACATTAGCCAAAACCAGGAGAAACGTCAATACATGCAGAGACATGAGAGTTTGGTTCAGGTTCAGTCCACAGCCGGAAGTCAATGCAGTGCAGACACACGAGTGGCGGGAGGATCTTCCTCGAGCCCCTTGTTTCGAGAGCGAGTTGAACCATGGCTGGGTGGTAGACTGGTCTATTTTGAGAACCCTTTCAGTCCCTATTTGAGCTACACACCCACACAGAGGTGGAAACCCCCGTGCAATCGGCACAGCGGCGTTCGGTCTTCGACCGCCGGTGCCAAGGTGGCAATGGGACTATACCAGGAACCGACTCTACAGGTCGTCAATTGAGACCTGGGCATGGGGGCCTTCCCAACCCTCATTAAAGACCTGGCACTGAGGGTACTACTATACCTTTTTCCTTAGTGAAGTACACTCCCTGGCATCATGTATACGCGGAGGGCACCACCCAGTTTGGTATTCGGAAAGTTGTCAAACTCGGGGCCATGCCAGCGATCCGAGCAACCATGATTATTCCAGGGAGTGTTAACACCAAGAAAACGTCTCAGATTGAGACACGTTGTCACTCGGAACGTGTCTGGTGGAACGTGTCTGGTGATGCAAAGGCAGGCTTGGACGCACTTCCTTTGCGCATCCACACCAGATGCATGACCTCGCCCGCAAACCACTCAGTTAATTTCAGGAGCACTGGTCGAAGGCAAAAGTCGAACCTGATTGGCTTTTCTTTGTTCGCATGGGATTCCCTTCAGAGAGATGCCCTTTTGGTGTACATGGAGATGTCAAATTCAGAATTCGCCAAGCTTCCCTCAAACGTTCTCGGCGAAAAAAAAAAAAAAAAAAACTCACCCGTGAAAGTGGACACTGGAGATACGTGATACGCCTTGCACGACTGAGTTTGGAACGGTCGCAGGAAACGATGGGTGTGAAGGTTCGGGTCTGCTTCTTGGAGATTTGGCCCCACCAGAAACCGTAATTTCTATATATATATATAGATATGTATCGATTTGGGAACAAAAACTATTTCTTTTTGGTCAAAGTCCTCATCCATCCAAATGGTTCAGTATGGCTTTGCAGCAGAGATCCGGGACATCATTTCTTTGGTCGTTTGGTCGTGGTTCGTCGTCACAGTCCTGAGGCTACTCTGTGTTTCTTGTCGCAGGCCACTGGGCTCCAAGAGGTCTCGAATCCTCATAAGGTCGAGGTCGAGTCGAGGTCGAGGTCTAGGAGCTTTGCGGAGGTGCGGAAAGCATCCTTAGACCTCGTTGTTGCAAATGGATGTTTGTCGCCTTCAAGAGGTGTCCATAAATTAGCCTCTTAGAGGTTAAGGGGTATCCAAAAGCCCCCTGTTGGAAGGTCCTGGTGGATGTCTGTGTTCTTTGATTTCTTCAATGGATGAAGGGGGTGATGGAGGCTTGGAAGCTTTTGTCTGATTGACATCCACCATCCAGATTGCGACTGTAAAGCTGGTGAACACCGCACAACAACCTTGATACATGAGAAAGATTCAAAAGTAATTATGAATCACATCATTGGCTTGATCGCACCATTGCACTCCTATGAAAGTCCTACCAAAAGGACCTGGAATGAAAGCAAAAACCAGTTCTCATGGGGTCAGCCCACATCGATGCGGGCCTGGGGATGCCCCCACAGGTGGGTTCCTTCTTGGTCTCTGCCCCACCCGCCCGTCCGCTTTCGACCCCCCGTTTCGTGCTGCTCCGAAGCGGCGGACGCTTCGTCTGCCGGGGTCGGTTCGTCGGCACCACGAGAATCGTACCACGGTACCGGAGTTGGAGTTGAAAAACGGTCAAAAACGGGGGGTTTCAGTGTTTCAGTGTCCCCTGAGTTTTTGGCGAAAAAAACCGGTTCTCAAGCCATGGACGCTTGCCCTTCCCACCGGCTGGACGAAGTGACCTTCCCACCGGCGTTTCGGTCCGTCTGAAGTCGTTGGAAGCAGCGGACCCGGCACGGTGGACCAGAAGCGGCACTCAGTCGCGGCATTTTTCGGGCTCCATGCTTTTCGTGTCCTATGAGTTCTATCACATGCTTTTCGTTGGGCTTTTAATTCCAGGACTCATTGGTTCCTTCTGGCGGTTCCTGCTTTTGGGGTTCTTTTCTTCGCTCTATCAAGTCCTGCGCGCTCCATGGTTCCTCCAGTCCACCCCCCCTTCTGCTCGTCGTGCGCCCCGAGCTTCTGCTCGTTGTAGATCTCCACGAAGGAACACCAGACCCGAAGCTCGTCGCCGCGCAGCTGGCCCTTCTGCCCGAAGAGATCCTACGGCGTCGCGTCGCGCGAACCTTCACCGGTCACCGGGAACGGTCCGACCGCTGTCCGATCGCCCGAGTGAAACGGAGGAAGTGCGTGGTGCCCGTCCATTCCTTCACCAACCAGAGGTGTCACCTGGGGAGGGGTCATGATTCAGTAAGGGGGCTCCCAGGCGGGGCTTTTCTTTGTGAAGGCTTGCGGCTTGCGCTTGCTCATCTGTCAGGGGAATGAGTTGAGGATGAGAGAAACATAAGGGAAATCAAGCTCTGCGGGAGAGGATTTCACTGTCCAAACCTCTCCTTGATCGCATTGAAACGAGAGTTGGTTGGCACGTGAAAATTCGCATGTGGTGGGGTGGATTCTAAAGGTGCAGATTTGCCAGTGTAGGAGATTGTGAAAATGAGAACAACCTGGTCAAGCCTGTTAATTAACTGATAAAACAAACCAAATGGATATGAGGATACTAGCAAGTGGATATGAGGGGTGCACGCAAAGTTGGCAACTGCTTCAAAGGACGCAGACTCTGGGTGGCTAATCATAGGCAATCGGGATGTCTGATGGCTCTGGGATCCAGCCTACTACTAAAACTTCTGGTGTTCCACATCTCTCGTCTAGAAATCACGCAGAAATGTATATGGTGATCATTGCCCGGCTGCCCGGCTCTAGATGACATGTCTTCTGAAACTACAAATTCTAGTTTGCTGGTTTGTCTTGAAGACGTGCGCCTGCCATGCGTCTGCCACGCATGTGTTGTTTCGTCCTCATCGACAAGGATCCAAGGACCTTGGTCCTGTGCCCAAGCCAAACCTGTGGAGGAAACCTCTCGGAGCCCACAGATCCACACGCGTTTCTCGGTGACCTCCCGCTCCTCCACCGAGCGAGGGATCACCCCGGGCTGGTCGCCATAGCCCATCCTTCACCGAACACGTGCGGAAGCCGGATGAAAACTGTGAAAACCGCGACGTGCGGTGCGTGTGATGTTGAAGAGTTACCTACATGCAGTCATTTTCATGGTGATGTTCATGTAGTATGTAAACTCTATTCCAGTCCCAGACATCCTCTGGTCTGGGGTGAGATCACCGCTCGCGCAGATCTCTCTGTCTCACCCTCCGATCGAAACCGATTCACGGCTTGGCGCCGTCAGCCGGTTCAGGGGTCGCTTCGCTTCAGGGAAGGGATCACCGGTCGCTGCCGCGTTCCTTTTCGGAGCTGGCAGGATGCGCCCAGGCTGGCCCAGACAAGGCGTTCATGCCGGACTTCCCGAGGTGTTCAGGTTTTCAGGTGTTCATGTCGGCAAAGCCCTGTGATTGGAATGGCAGGAATGGCAGTTTTTGTTGACGCGTGTGTAGGTCCCCTGTGACCTCCAAGGGGAGATTTTCTGCCACATGGAGACAGGACCCCTTCCTACATGTCCACCCAATCCAGCAACTACCAGCAACTCCCCTCCACTTCGTAAAGCCTTTATCATGCAAAATACGTATCCAAATCCCCTTCCCAAAACACCTGGGCTACTCCACCTCCGCCTAGGCTACTTAGCGACAGGCAAGCGTCATGGTGTGGCTCTTCCCAGCACCGGTTTGTCCATAGGCGAAGAGACAACAGTTGTAGCCTTCCAGCACGTTCTTCACCAAGTCAGCACCTCTCCATGCAGACCATCGCAACGGCAGCGCAGAGCTGTGGTGAGCAGGCTAGATGCGCAAGGGAAGAAGCAAGAAAGTCAAAGCATGCAAACGGAAAAAAAAAAACACACAAAGAAGGAGAAGAACACACTTCATCTGCGATTGAATTCTGTAGAGTGCCCCCTAAGTAGATGCAAAGGTCGCCAATCCAGGTTTGGGGAAGAACTCACCGACCTTAGGACAGTGTTACTAACACCATGGAGTGGCAGCACACACACACACTTACTAGTAAGTTCCAAGACATTCAAGAACATTCAGAGCTTGCCCCTTTCATCCCCTTTCCAAGACCATCCAAAGAATTCGAGAGACGGCCAAGCCATGCTTTCATAGCACCGCTCGCCGCCTTTTCCACTCACTACTCAAGCCAATCCCCCAGGTCCAATTGGGTTGCAATTTGAGAACGGGGGACCTCCTTGGCCCAATGGATTTGGTCTGCTTGGTTCCCAGAGGTCGAACACCCGAATCATCCCAAATCCACGAATCAAGCATCGACACGGCACCTGCGTGCAAAACTCGCCCGGGCCTATGAACACATGAACACATGTGTCATGACTTGACATGACATGACACGTCGGCGTGGGCGGCGGCGCAGGAAAAACCCGACTCTGGGCGGGGGTCGCCCCAAAAAAACCCTTCGAAGTGCTGGTCCACTGCCATGTGCCCGTATAGACCGCTTTACGCTTTCCGCGCTAACGGCGCTGGCGACCCGTCGCGACGGCGACCAGGGCACCAAACTCGGTATAGACCGCATCTTGGGTCCCCGTATCATTGCTGGGCTCCAGGGAGCTAAAGCAGTGGTCGTAGGTGAAGCTCCTCAAGACGCGCGGTCCGCGCGGTTCCGCGCTCCGCGCCGGATCCGGAGCGGAATCCGGAGCGGAAGCACCGGAGCGGATCGATGGAAGGCGAAGTCGCCCCGGTGGGCGGTCTTGGCAGTCCGGTCGTCCGAAAGCTCGAGGAGGGCACCAGCAAAATGGAAGGAGTTCCATGGAGTTGGGTGCCGAACGGAGGGAGGGGGTGCCCCTGTCATCCACGAGCCCTGGATGGACCTAAAAGCCACCCAACTCCATGTGACTCCTGGTTCAAAACAAAGAAATTGGCTATGACATGTGATGGTCCACGGCGCCGTTGATCGTCCACGACCACGACTGGGACATGAAAAAGCCAGTCGTTCGTCATGGAAGATTGTGAGATCTTCCAGCACCTGCAACGCCAAACTACCGATCTGTTTTGCGTATGCCGACAACTGCTAGAAACGTTTACGATCCACCATCCACGATCCACTCTCTGACGCCCAACCGCGCCGAGATGCTTAATTTGCCCATCCGATGCCTGCGCGCTTTTCGGTCGGCGAGGGTGGGTGAAGAGGCTGTGCTGTGCGGTTGCGAGGTTTTACACATGCCATGACTTGCCATAAATAAAGACACTGCCAGAGGTCACAGGTTGGGGAAGCCTGTTATGTCAGGAAGCCTGTTGGCGCTGACCTCGAAGCATGTCGGTGACTTTGGTGGTTCTCAGCTACCAAAACTTTGGTCTTGCATGCTTGATGCTTGGCATGCTTGGCTGATCTTTTCAGCAGGGCATCAACCATCATCAACCCGTACCACGGCCCGACTAAAAACAAACTCAACAGGTCACCAATGGAGTCCCAACAATAATTGTTTGACCCTGAAATGGATAGAAGTTCGTAGATCTCTGTCTCGGGAACCCTCGGGAACCACGGCCCGACTGAGTCGGTGGTTCCCGCTTGCGTCGCCTGGCCTGCACGACCACGGTCGGCTGACTGGTGGGCACGCAAATCGCGCAGGTGCTGGTGATTTCCTGCGACGAGCGAACAGATGAAGTGGAATGATTGGGATACAGCATGCAGCTCCTTTTTTTGGTGAACGTTGTGTGACGGAGATAGAGGGAGTACCTTGAAAAAAGATCATGCCGAAAGTACAGAAAAGTGAAGATTTAACTTGTGCGTGTGATGACTTGGGCCACTTGGGCTCTGCTCAAAAACCAGTGGATGCGACCTCTGGTTTTGCGGACTGAGAAGGTCGAGCAGGTGCTAGCTAGTGCTAGCTAGCATGCTATCCGGCACCACTGAAGGAAACCCTCAAACAGCGAATGCCTTGCAAAGTGCCCAGGCTGAAGGGATGTCCATTCTTACCAGGCTTTCTATCAACTCAACCACTTATGTGTCAAGAAATTATGAACACACAAGGACCCCTCAAGGCACTCTGACAGACTCCACTCTTGGACCCCTCAAAACGAAGGGTGATGGTGGTTTGGTGTTCGGTTCCTTTTGATCCAGTGCCCCGCTGCCCGACGACCCAGAGAAGTGGAGATGGGCTCGAGCCGACGACCGGGAGAGGACACACTTCGAGAGTCAAGGTGATCGCACACTTCATATTTGGACCCTTTGCCCCGTTCGTAGCTTCTTGTTCCTAGTAGTAAGGCCAGGAGCCCCTAAGGCCCGTTCGTAGCGTCCTTGTTCCTAGTAACTTGGGACTTCCAAACTATGCAAAAAGGACCAATTGTCTGTCAATGGTCGTTCAACCTCATTCAACCATCCTAGAGTAGTTAGGTATTTAGAGCATGTGAATCGTGTCAATCAAAATGACCCCGTTCGCACTGGAGAACCCTTCGTGTACACCTCACCTCCTCTCTCAGTAAGGCCTGCTTCATCATTCCGGTGTCACGAGCGATCTTCCATCTCCGTCCGATCCATCCAGCGATTCTTCATCCCCCCATCCCATCCCATCCCATCCCATTCCGTCGTCCCAAAACGCTCCGGAAAAACCGCCGTCGCCGTTTTCGTTGGCAGTCCGCGTCGCGTTTTCGCGCCGTGGCGTGGCGTCGCGTCTCGCGTCGCGGGTTTTCTCTTCGTCGGCCGCCTCGTTCTCGCTCATCGGCCGGATCCGGATGGCCACATGGATGTTCTCCGCCATGTTCCGCGGTTTGCGGAGCACGGTGGAACCGGGGGAGGACGCACGAGCGGAGCAGAAGCACGAGCGGAGCACGACCAGCAGCTGTGGGTGATTCTGGGTGGTGGTTCTGGGTGATGTAGCAGCTCCAGTGCCGCAGACTTCAGTAGAAACTTCAAAGGTGTGTAGAAACGCGCAGAAACAGAAACGCATAGAAACGTGCTTCTGGGTTTGGAAGAGAGCTTTTGGGCCTAGGAGAGTAGAGGACGGTGGTTGATCCACGTTCACGGCTGTCCAGTTGGGCTTGCATGATGAGTTTCTTCCTGGACCCTGGGTGGTACGGGCAGGTTGGGGGTAGAGATAGTTTGTTCTTGGGAGTCAGGAAAATTGGATTCAAGAAAGCGTGGAGCCGGTCAAGGGTGGGTGTCCCAATTGGTGCAATTCTGGTCAGGCAAGTGGTGAATTTCAAAACCATGACTGGGATTCCAGCCTGTGCTCGCCAAGAAACGGTGATGATCATTGATGTATAGTATAGCTGCTATCAATGATCTGATTTGCCGTTGCCTCTTGCTGGAAGCAACGTCCATGTGAATTCGGCCACTTTGAGCCTCCAAAGCAAAAGCAGCAGTCAGCACTTGCTTCAACCAGCTTCCGAGATCCATGAAAACCCTGTGGAGGTCCGTCAAGTCCGAGGTTTCTACCACAGTGCGTAGTTCATCGTCATCCTGGATGAGACATTTCAGACTAAAGGAGGCTCGGCTCGCCTGGCCAAAACCGGTTTGGAGCTCCGGTGGAGTCACTTGGAGCTTCGTTGGTGACTACACGGATCTCTTTGGAGAGGCGTACCTATGCCCCACCGGGTGGGGGTTTCCTTCACCAAGGCAGAAAACCTCGGGGTTGGAGGTTGGATCGTTTCTGCGCCGGACGTCCACCTTTTTTCCTGCTTCATGGCAGTCAGTTAGATGTCTTGGTTGGTGTCGGAAGCCTCTCTCCTTTACACTCGTCCTGTTGACATCTGTCATAGTGGTTGTGTCCACCAACACCATGGGGAGTTGTGCCTGGAGCTATTTCCACTGGTTGAGGAGGATGCCCAATCTGCTCTGTCTTGTGCCTCCAGTCGTTGCGGTTATGTCCCGCTTTATTCTTGTCCTGTCAAATCCCCATGTCAAAAAATACATTAATGTCCAGCACCTTCCTTCAAATCTACTTGACTCTACCAGAAATCCCCTCTGAAACATCATGATCTCCCAGAAAACCAACGCCCCTCCGGTTCTTCAACCTTCATAGCCCGGCAGCTCTCGCAGGTGGCTCCTCACGGGCCACGTTTCTGCAAGACCAGTGCATAGTCTTGACCTCAGCCAGGGCGGTTCTACACAACCGAACGTCCCAGATCGAAGTTGTCCCTAACCGTAAAAAAATGGTTATATGTGCGTAGTAGTTAGGAACCCAGAACTCAGACAAGGTCTTTTTTTGGCGGGGTGGGTGAGTGGGTCCAAACGAAAGGTCGCCCTAGTCCAGGGTTCAACGGTTCTACCACACCTGGTCTCCCCGGCTACACCGAGACCGGCCGGAGATCTGGACGAACGGAGTCCGGTGAAAACCGGTGTTTTTGATTCGGATATATTTATTGAGTTATACTAGTAACAAGTGCATGGCTAGTAGTAACAAGTGGCATTAGCAATCATGTTCGCTAGGAAGTAGGGGCTCCTGGCCCACCGAACGGAGCATCCTTACAGTCAGCGTCGCGAAGGACCTGAACCGTAGCGATGCCCGAAGCATCACATCGTCCATCCATCGCGTTGTTCCCCACCGAACGGAGGAAAAAAGGATGTTCCAGTGGCCGGAGAAAAGACCCCAAACGGACGGTTCGTGTTGATTCTTTTCTTTAACCAAAGCGGGTCCATCCATAAAATCCATTCCTCCCAACCCGCACACTTTTCAGCACCACGACAGTCCACTCAAATGAAGAAGAAACCAAGCCACCGAAGCTGTGCCCCTCAAGCTGGCTGCTCTCCACTCGCTGGCGCAAGAGGCCCAAGTGCCTGGAGTTGCCACTTCAGTGAATGGTCGGATGTGGCCTATACTCGTAGGGCACCTACGCCTCAGATGCGCGCGTCAATGGGAGCGGTCTTGCCATATCTGAGACAAGTCCCCAAAAGCAACATCGACATGGACAGTCCCCCAGGTGACCTTAACACCGGACCCAGCGTTTGAATTCGCGGCATGGCGGCGACTGTCTTGACCGCCGGCATCGCACCTCTGCAGATCCTGGCGCAGCTCGTTCTCCACCCGCTCAAGCTCCTACAGCACAGCGCAGCTTCTTTTAAAAGCGCTCCGGTGCTCGACTCACCAAATGGATAAGTTGTTTTTTATTGGGATTCCTTTTTTCTGACCCACAACCCTTTTTTTCTGACCCACATCCTTTTTTTCTGACCCACAACCCTTCTTTTCTGACCCACAACCCTTCTTTTCTGACCCACAACCCTTCTTTTCTGACCCACAACCCTTCTTGTCTGACCCGCAACCCTGCTTTTCTGACCCACAACCCTTCTTTTCTGACCCACAACCCTTCTTTTCTGACCCACAATCCTTCTTTTTTGACACACAA